TTGGAGACCAGACAGGAGCATATCAGCTCTCACTGGAGTTCCCTGTGCAACCTGGAAAAACGATGCTGATACCACCTCTGAGGCCTGGTCCAGGTCATTCAGAATGGGTCTAACACTTGGCAAACCCCTCCAAAGACAGGGTGATATGGCTTACCTTTAGTAAAAAGGCCTCCTTGACTCCTAGGTGATCAAAGTTGCATTGTTCAGGACATAGCTGAGGTACAAGGCACGCTGAAGTCTTTTTGCAGTTGTGGCACTGTTCAAAAAAGAAACCCAAGATTCTCTAGGTCAAAAGGAGAGGGGGACTAAGAGAAAGCTGGCAGCTATAGGGTACTGGTTAAATCATTCACCTGGGGAAGGGGAAACCTGCAGATTCGGATCCCTGAAATGTCTATGCATTACGTATGAAATAATATAATTAGTGGACCAGAGAGGCAAAGTTTCCCCTTTTCATCAGTCTCCAGAGCATTTGTGGGTTTAAAACCTCCATAACCAGGGTGAGAAAGACATCAGCTGTGAGATTATGTGACAAAAACTTGTCTTCACACACAGAAAGGAGTGCAGAGAGACACCCTGCCCTGGCTCCTCCCACACCTGTCTCAAAAGCCCATCAACGGCCTGTTTCCACAAATCCAAAGGCGCACAGGGACGAAATGGCAGATGAGAAAGAACCCTCAGATAGGAACTCAGAATAAAGGAAAACCTGTCCAAGCCCCTCCCAGGGCTGTCCCAGGAAAACCACAGCTCCAGGGTGCAGACCTGAAGCCTATCAAGATAAGTCAACACCACAACAATTTAAGTTGCAGCCTACGGATATAGGACTTGTTACAGGATGCAAGGGATGAACATTTCAGAATTGCATAGGACTTCTTATGGGATGCTTAGCAGAGGACTCAAAGGCAAAGAAAGAGAGAGATGTAGATGATTTGGGAAGGAACAAGTAACAGTAAGAGATGGATAAGGGGATAGAAAGACCCAGTTGTAGATGATTTGGGAAGGAACAAGTAACAGTAAGAGATGGATAAGGGGATAGAAAGACCCAGTTGCCTGTGTGAAGAGTTTGCTGGACAATGTCCTTATCTGTCACGCACAGCCCGTTCCCTTCTTCTAATTGAATTCCTTTGTAACTTTTTTTTTTCTGAGAGGACTCCCTGTTTTGCATGTATGCATGTGGGGAGGGGTTCTGGTGCCAGCCTCTAGTCAAGCCATGGTTTGGAGAGTCCCCATGCCTGGGTGACAGTGACTGGAGAGACAGGAGGAAGTTGACTTAAATGTCAGCAACTGTACTAGGTGAGAGGGTGGTGTGCTCTCAGGACACAAACAACAGGAAGAGCTGGGTTAGGCTGGGATTACATACTTGACCTCCTTCAGTTGGACCTGGGAGGGTGGAGTTGCACCAGCCTCGCCTCTCTTGGACTGATGGATCTGGCTTGACTCCTCTAACATAAACACCAAATATTTCACTTTGTGGGAGGGTGCCGTAGCCCAAGACCAGCAGGCAAATGGGTAAGAACAGATGTAGTCACTGCATTGTTTTTTGGAATAACTTTGCTCATTCTTTCTGACAAACAACTGCAAGACATATTTTGGAAACATTATAACTGTGAATCCTGAATGAATGAAAATACATTACTGGCAGAAAATTCCAGATAGTTTTTCTGCCAACAAAGTACTAAGGTACATAGACCCTATTTTGAGATATCTGGCAAACTCCATGCATTGATGGAAAAGCACAGGCTGGCAAAGGAGTTCTCTGGACTACTTACTCTGATTTTTTAAATTCTGGAGCTGTGTTTCCAAGGCCAGGTACCTAGGACTTAAAGTGTTGGCATATCACTTTTAATTGAATTAAGTGCCAAAAAAAAAAAAAGTTATATATAAATACTGGCACAACACTTGCTGTCATCTGCTGGAATGGCCTCAGTGCTACAAATGTTATTTACAAACCAGTGTAAATGGTCCAGAGAGCTCCTTTGCCAGCTAAGTTAAATAGCAGACAATTGAAGAGTTAAACCACAAGTTTTATCAGAGGCATTGGGCACTCCTCAGGGCTCTAGGGAAGAATACTGATGACATGGTGCTCTGGAGATGATCTGTTCCCTGTTGTTTTCTCTGTCCCTGCAACCCACATAGGAAAATCCTTTCTCTCTCTACAGTTTATGAATTTTATTTTCCAACCACACCTCTAGCCCTCGGAGAGCTATTACTTGAGCCTTGTGTTTTTCAAACAGTTGATGAACACATTATCTGAATTTCTTTAAAAGAAAGGGCTGCTAAAGGGTGGGTCCCAAAGCTGCACGAGTGAAAAGAAAATGATGTGAAGAAAAATAAAACACAAGTGCACAGATGCACTCCTAGCAACAACTCTTACAGTAATACAACAGTAAATACTTGCCTTTCCGCCTGAAAAAACTAGACTCTGTGCAGATGTTTATATTTACAAGATACAAGTCATTTCTTGCAGTCTCTCCTCAGAGATTTAGCATTAATGTAGCTGGAACTAGACCTGAATATAAATTATTTTCCACAGCAGTAAAAGTAACTCTAAAAATGCTTATCTGTTTTCACCAAGGTTACATCGCTTGTACATTTTTAACAACGTGATTGACTCCTGTATGTTTAACAGTAAATTTAGTAAGTCGTTCACAAACATAAACCAAACTGTTTCACTAGATTTGTGCCTCCAGAAGATTAAACTGCACCAGCATTTTTTAACCCTCTGAGAAACCAGACACGAGGGAGATGCAAGAGCAATTTAATCTGACCTTACCTGACAGCAGTTCTGGCACTGACAAACATAATCAGCTAAGCCAAATATTTAAACCTAAACAACAGCTACCTCCTTTGGAGCTGAACAGCCTTACACTACCTAACCAGAGGATGAAAAAAGTAGTGAGACTGAGGGAAAGAGGCAATGTTTTCAAGTGATTTGGAAATGCATGGAAGTGTTTCATCACCATTTTTATCCTCATGTCTAAGTTTAGAATAGATTTAACAGGACTGTGGGATAGAGAATTGCAAAGAATCTCTCAAGTCAGGGCTACACCATATTTTTATCAAGATTATCCAGACAACCCCACTGAAGATGGCTGCACAAGAAGCAGCATGATGGCTCTTGTTCTGCTGCACTACCTGTACTCTTCAGGAACTGCAACCACATGCTAAAGAAGATCCCCCAAAAGACATGGGAACAGAGAGGAATGTGGGAGACATCACATGCCTCAGGCAAGAAAAACCAGGCCAGAAGTTAATCAGGGCCTATGCCAATATTGCCACTTCAGTGTGGCCAGTGAAGATCATTTGGGCTTTGAGAGAGATCAATAGAAAGCTTGAGATCAGAAGCAACTCTGTGCTACTCATCAAGATGATGCAGATCAGATTATTTTCAAACTTTTTTTTGTCTGAACTGACTCACTATGCAAACTTTCAGTGAAGGAAGTGTCAATTATGTCAATCAGATAGAAGAAAGGAGAAAAACCCAACAACCACAAAAAAAACCAAACCAAAAACCAACCCAAAGCCACAAAAAGGCAGTCTGAACAACAGCCTCAGTTTTGTATCACATAAGCTCCCAAATTATTTTTAATAAGCAAGTTTGCCTTTCCAAGCACGCATATGCCCTCTTCACATCCTCCACTTTTCTGTCATATATCTCAAAACCAAACCCAGGGTTCTTACCTGAAGTTGGTCTCCACTTCTTCATCCACCCTTTCCTGTACCTCCTGGTCCACTACCCCCATGATCTGTCAGTCCCCATTCTCTCTCAGGCCCCCAGTCCTGGTAGCACTTCAAATGCTAATGGAAGCACCAGAAAAGGCACATCACTGTGATCATCTTGTCTTACAGAGTACCGGCTGTTAGGGAGCAGTAGGAGCCAGGCTGCTCCAGAAGGAGATGAAAGAATGGGAGCGAAGGGGGCTCATGCAGATATCAGGGCATGCATCCTGCCAGCCAGTGCCCAGCCCTACAGTGAGAGGCAGGAGGAGGAGGTCTGTTTCAGCCTAGATGAACTACAGAATCATAGTTTAGTTTGGAAAAGGCCTCTAAGATCATTGAGTCCAACTGTTAATCCAGCACCACTGTGTTCACCACTAAACCATGTTCCCAAATGCCATATCCACGTGCCCTTTGAACACTTCCAGGGATGGTGACTCAACCACTTCCCTGGGCAGCCTGTTCTAATGGCTGAGTGAACTTTCAGTGAAGAAATTTTTGCTAATATCTAATCTAAATCTCCCTGACAAAACTTGGGGCCATTTCCCCTTGTCCTGTCACTTCTTCCCTAGAAGAGACCAATTCCCACCTGGCTACAACCCCCTTTCAGGGAGTTGTAGAGAGTGATAAGATCACCCTTGAGCCTCCTTTTCTCCAGGCTGAACAGCCCCAGCTCCCTCAGCTGCTCCTCACAACACTTGTGCTACAGACCCTTCCCCAGCTCCGCTGCCCTTCTCTGGACACGCTCCAGCACCTCAATGTCTTTCCTGGAGTGAGGGCTCAGAACTGAACACAAAGATGGAAAATTTAGATTAGCTATTAGGAAGTTCTTAATTGTGAGAGTGGTGAGGCACTGGAACAGATTGCCCAGGGAGGTTGTGGATGCCCTATCCCTGGCAGTGTTCAAGACCAGGTTGGATGGAGCTCTGAGCAACCTGGGATAGCAGAAGGTGTCCCTGCCCATGGCAGGGATTTGGAACTGGATGACGTTTATGGTTCCTTTCCAACCCCTTAGCATTCTATGATTCTGTGAGCCTTAGAGCTTGTTGGCAGCTATCTGTCGCACTGATTAAGTCTTCTTTCTCTAGAAGAACAGTTCTAGGACACTCGTGACTCAGGATAGTTTTGAACCCCGGGTTTAAAGCAGATCGGCGGGCGCCACCCCTCCGGCCATGTCGGGTAATGGCCGCCCCGCCCCTTGCCGCCAAAACCGTGAGGGCACCGCCCCGCCGCCCCTTCAAGAAGCGGTGCGCTGCCCCACCGCGGCGGGTCAGGCTGGAGTTGGAGCCATGTCGCAGCGCAGGCGCTCTGTCAGCCCCTTTTTCTGCTTCGTGCGCGACCAGCTGCCCGAGCTGCGGCGGCGGGGGCTGTCCGTGGCCCGCGTGGCGGACGCCATCCCCCACTGCTGCCAGGCGTGGGCGGTGAGGGGCGGCGAGCGGCGCGGGGAGGGCGGCAGTGAGGGGCACAGTGTCAGTGCGGGCTTTCCGGAGGGTCGGGCCGGTGCCAGTGTGTTTAGCGTTTCAAGTGGGCACCCTGAGCGGCTTCAGGTGTCTTTCGTTGTGCCGTCCTCCCCCTCGGCTGCCGGGGCAGCCACTGGCTCGTGTGCTATGGGGAGTGGCAGTAGGTTGTGGGTAGTTCCAGGAGATCCCTCGGTTGTGGGTAGTTCCAGGAGATCCCTCGGTGGTGGGTGGTTCCAGGAGATCCCTCGGTGGTGGGTGGTTCCAGGAGATCCCTCGGTTGTGGGTAGTTCCAGGAGATCCCTCGGTGGTGGGTGGTTCCAGGAGATCCCTCGGTTGTGGGTAGTTCCAGGAGATCCCTCGGTTGTGGGTAGTTCCAGGAGATCCCTCGGTTGTGGGTAGTTCCAGGAGATCCCTCGGTTGTGGGTAGTTCCAGGAGATCCCTCGGTTGTGCTGTGGCAGGGCTGACCTGCCCTCACCTGGAGATCCTTCCAAAGGACGTGCTTGCTGGGTGTTTGGAATCCAAGATTACTGTGTCCATAGGAAAAAAAGCTACTGGAAGTGTTTGAGTCAGGCTTGGCACTCGTCGATAATGTCCTTTGGAAATGAGGAGTAATTTTTTTACAGCATGGAGTTTGTTGGTTTGTGGGGCCACCAGGAGAAGGGAGAGCTAAAACCTTCTTTAGAACAATTCCTTTTCCTTCAAGTTGCTGACAGAGGAAGAAAAGGCAGCGTACCTGGAGAAGGCTCGTAAGTGGAATGGAAAGAATTGTTCTCAGAAAACTGAGAAAGAGGTAAGAGCTGAAAATGGAACACCCTTCAGTAGCTAAACTAGGAGGGAGGAGTAAGTGGGGTTGGGGTTTGGTCAGCTCAGATGGTGTGGAAGGTCTCCTCTCTCCATAGCCTCCAGCCTGTGGAGGTTATGGCTGCTGTAGTAGATCATACCATTTATGAAGGTTACCAGGTAATTGTTCTGGCTTGAATTGAAGGTGAGAATACTCCACACCTTTTTAAACCAGCACAGCTCGTTCTTTGGGCTTTTTTACCCAGTAAAATGTATTTTTCTAACATCCTAGCTTCACGTTTAACAGTATTTTGCAGTGCCTGACTTAACAATATTTTTTTAATTTATAATACTGCAAATTGATATGACTTCTGGTCATAGGTTCACGTAGCTTTTGATTGTCATTAATTCACGTGTTTCTTGTCTGATGGCCTGAAAGCACATCTTAAGGCAGCCGATTTGTTATTCCTGAGTGGCCGTGCGGTGAACCAGGTCAATGAAATGTTGCAGCCTGTGCACAGAGTTACGCTTTGCCGTTATTTCTAGATTGGTTTGATTATGAAGAGACTGGTAATGCTATGGTAGAAGACAATATAAAGTAAGCAGTTAGGTTTAGGTGAATGAGGTTGTGGTTGGAAATAGTGGTGAACGGTTCATTTCTACTGTTTACTGTTTTGAAAAGGTGTGTATACCTTTTGGTTTTTTCTGTCTCTTTTCCTCTCCCAGCAGTTCCCTGAAGCAGAGTTTAGTTCAGAGTTTGAATTATGTGAGGTATCAGAAAACTTAATTTTATTCCAATCTTGGCTGGCAGTGTAAAAACTTTGTCTGTCAAAGGCAAGAGCCTGATTGAGTAAATGGATAGTAGTGCATTTACTTCGTGTTCTATTACTAGATAATGACTATGAACTATGAATTAGTGGGAAGGGTAAATTTCAGGACTTTAAAACACTTCTGTGATGCTACAGAATGACAGAATGATCATAGTTTGGAGTGACTGGTAAATCTGGATTAGTTAAATTGGTCAGTCTAGACTAGTAGGGGGATGTTAGGCAGTGTTTTCTGATTTTTGGGGGCCTGCCTGTTGGGGAAGAAGCTGTTTAAAATATGATGATCATCTTGTTATTTAACAGGCTGAGGGTATGTGATTAATGACGTTCCATTTCTGTATATTGTAAAAAACTAAGTGCAACGACAGCTAAGTCATAAATGGAGGCTTCTGTATTTCATTCCACAAGTTGTAGCGTTTCAGAAGTCTGCAATCAGGGAAAGGAATAATTGCTTTACCAAAATGAAGAACACCATCCTTACTGCTCATCACTGCAAATGGGAAATGTGTATATATGAGATTCTGTATGATCTCAGTTCATTAATCACAGCCCTATACACAGACAGCCATTTTGTGTAGTGGAAGTTTGTGTTCATCTTTTGGGTGAGCTTACTTAGATGGGAATCATTCCTCATTTTGTTTTAAATAATTCAAACTGATAACCAGTTAACTTTGACTAAGATGATTGTCTGTAATCGGTGCACCCGAACGTGGATGTTATTCTCAATTTGGGTCTTGAATGATTGAATTCTGTAAGCCTACCAGGCTTCTCTTCCTGTCCTATTAAAAGCTTATTGTTCCTGAGTGGGTTTTCAGTGTTTATGGGCATGCATGCCCCTCTTCCTTACTCACTGCTGGAACAAACTGATGACTTCTTTGTGGCTGTATGAGTTTTTCATGAATTTGTTCCTGGCCAAAGACAACTAACACATGTGCCATGTGCTTTTATTAATAAATCTTAGGGGAAAAAGACTTGAATTTCTAGTTTGAGGAGTTCCTTGCCAGAGATAAGTGGTTGAACCTAAGAAATTTTTTTTTAATGGCAGTTTGCAAATTTAATTGTAGTTCTTTAAAGTTGTAGTGAGTTGATGAAGGTATTGAAGAGAAATATTGCCTTCCTCCTGGCTTGAAGGCGTACAGGTACTTTTTATATAAACTGCAGACTTATTCCACCTAACCATAATTGTTACACTGGATGTTACATTTTCCTCTTATATAAGGAGTGAAGGACTTCATTTGGGGTGAGAAGACTGTGTGTATTTTTTGGTTTTTTTAACTTTCTCATCTTTTCCAGACACATAATCTGGGTAATCCAGTTCCTGCTTCTCTGACCAAAAAGATGCCCAGTGTTACTTCTTTACCAGATGCCTTTGCTATGTCTTGGAATAACGATCAGGGTATGGTAATCCTAAAGCCATTGATCCTCTTAGGTGAAAGTTTGCCTTCTGTGGATGTTCTCAGTGGTACCTGTACAAAGGCTGTTTACATTTAGCTAATAGGCACCTGTGTCAACTGTTCTTAGTTTAAAACAAAGAAGAATAGTTTCAAACAATCTTGCTACTGATTTACAAGGTAGTATAGAGGAGAGTCGTGGAAAATGCCCCTTCCCCCCCCAGATCTCTAGGAATTCTACCCTCTGTTTTTTAGCTTGATGGGAGACTAGCCACTAAAAGTTTCTTAACAGTTATTTTGAGTTTGTTTGGTTTTTTTAAGAAAAATTAATTTTTCAAGTCCTGCATTTATGATTCATTTTAAAGGGTGAAGAGTTATTAGATATCAAAGTTTAAGATTTGTAAGGTAGAGGTGTTCAATAAAACAATGGCCTGGCCTCTTTGGGAGAATAGAAGAGAAGATGCGTAGTCTTGGTGCCTTTATAACATCCTGACTTGCTTCCTTATTAAAAGAACTCCTTATCTGTACCCCATCTTCAAGTGGATGTTTTAATTAGGGTTGAGTAATGAACATATTTGTAATCCTTTACCCAGTGAATATTATGCTATTCTGGAAGGTGATAAAAGGTAATGCTCACAAGGTCAGCCTGGCATACAGCATTGTTTCTGTGTAAAAACAGTTACAGATCTCTATTATTTCATGGAGCAAGTAGGAGTTTTTTGATGGGGGGCAGAACTTAAGGGTGAGGAGTAAATGGCTACCTTAAACTTCAGTGAGGACGTTATGTGACAGTCATGAAGAGAAGGATTAAGATGTGTAGTGAAATATTTTTTATAATTGGATGCTTTTAAAATCAGTAAATGATAGATTTATATCTTAACATTTATCTTGGGTGTTCTTGCCACTTTCTTTGGGAGCTCATTTGGTGGAGGAGAAGCAATGCTTTTAATTAGCAGACTTCTCATCTTCTTGCCCCGTAAGATTACTACCAGCTCATTTAACTTGTGTAAGTTACTGAATTGAGCTTGTGAGGCTGCTTTGCAGATATCGATTTTTTTTTTCCCCTTGTCCTTATTTTCCTAAAGTGCAAAGAGGCCTATCATTAAAAGGAATAGTAGTTCCTGTTGGATTCCAGGCTTCTTAAAAATTTATGGGTTTGGGATTTGGCTTTTTTGGGAGGGGAAGATTTTTTTTTTTCTGGTGGGGTTTTTTTGTTTGTGTGTGTGTGGTTTTTTTTTGTAGTGGTTTTTTTTGTTTGTTTTGAGGGGGGTTATGTGGTTTTTTTGGGGGTGTTTTTCGTTGGTTGGTTTTGGGGGTTGTTGTGGGTTTTTTGGTAGGGTTTTTTGTTTGGTTTTGCTTTTATTTGTGGGGTTTTTTTGCCTGATCTGTACACACAGTAGCATCTATGGAAGTAGTACCAGGTCTACTGCTACACCTGGCTCGTGCATAAGTATTAGTTATCTTGTCATTTTGGAAAGATCTGCATGTTTTATTTGGTTGTTACCCTACTTCACTCAGTCGTGCTGTAACCTCTGGAGGCTTGTATGCAAATGGTTTTGTTCTTTTCCTGGCAGATGTGGTTGCAGACATCTTCTACTTCCTGGACATTTACAGCCATGGCAAGCTACCATCCCAGTGTGAGCAGCGCTTCCTTCCTTGTGAGATTGGGTGTGTCAGGTACTCCCTACAGGATGGCATCATGGCTGATTTCCATCACTTCATAGATCCAGGTGAGTTCCAAGAAAGTAGAGATGGCTTCAGTGTCAGAACTGCAGGGAAACCTCAAAGAGGGGTGGAATAAGTCCAGGAAGACCTTCAGATGTTTGTAATTTGTATTTCATGTCAAGGAATGTTTCTCTTGATTGCACCTAAACACACTGTGCAATGTACTTTGTTTTTTAAAATGCATATAACAGAAAATAGCTTTTTCAAAAATAGTTGTGGCACTTGTACAAGGCCACAACAGAAGATGAAGCTGTTTCCTTCTGTATATGAGAATTGGTGTGGAGTTGAGAGCTAAGGATCTGTCATTGTGGATGTTGGGTGACTGTTCTTTTTCTCCTGCAGAAGCACCACCACGTGGTTTTCGGTACCACTGCCAGGCTGCTGGTGAGTATCAGCGGAGAAAAAGAATAATATGCAAAGGTTCACAGTTTTAGATTCAGCTTCTCTGACCTGTATCCAAGTGTTTTGTAAGTCTGCAGTTTCTGGGAACTTGTCAAATTTTGAAGAGAAGAGATGTTAGAGTGGCTTGTCACAGTCACCTTTTGCATATTTCTTGTACGTACAAGTGACAGAGCACTTCACTCAAAATGGTTTTGTCAATGGCAGAATTATTTGTATCCTGTTTTCCTATTTTAATGCAATAGTAACTGCAGTATGGGACATCTGATCAGTGTGTCCTTCCGTTGATAGTCCTTTTGTGTATCTTCAGCATGAAGTGTTAATTAATAATGGTAACTCAAAGACACTGGTTTATATTTAAAAGTTATATTTTGCAACTTTAACAGCAAAGTTAAAATGTTCATGCCATTGTTGTGTCTGCCTTGGCCCGCCTTGTTTCCCTTACGACTCTTAGTAACATTTATAGATTTCAGTTTGTTTCTATTAGGACACTTCCTCCCCTTGTGTACAGAGGGAACACACTTGGCCTGTGTTTTCCTTTGTCAAATACTTGGATAATGGCCTTTTAGAAGGGGCAAGAGTGTGTGTGTGTTTGCTCACAGCCCAGACCTGCCAGGCTTCTGCTGACAGAAGCAAGGTTTTGATAGCTCTGATCACAGACATTGCCTGTGGAGAAGGGGAGGAGTGTGTGTTTGTGTGGATACTTGTATGTATAGAAAAAGATAGAAAGGAGGGGGGAGCTGTATCATTTAAAGAAACAGGACTTCTCACAAGTTTTTGTGGGTTTTTTCCTGCCCCCATTCCCTCTCCTTCACTAGGTGCTGAAACTCATAAGATCCCTATATCTGGATTTCATCTTCCACGTACATGTTACACAGTTGTCTTACAGGAACTCCTTAAGTTTGCCCAGCCAGCCAGAGGGGTCCAGCCTCGCTTTTTCTGCAGGGTATGGCCAAGGTCAAAGTAAGATGCTCTAAATCTAAACTTCTACTTTCACTTCTCTTGGATGACTAAGAAGTTATTTCACTCTAAACCGTAATCAGGGTGCAGATGAGTCGGAAAAGACACTCATGTCCAATGTGTCCCAGTTCCATGCAGGAAGAAATGGCCTTTGGAAGCTAATCTTTTTATAAAGCAGAGACCTAATTTTCTTATTTTCAGCCTGTACTTCTGGCTCTAGCCTACTGGTGAACAGGATTTGTTGGTCTCTGACATTTTTTTGGCTTAGGTTAAGGGCTTTTTAAGATTGACTTAAACTAAATGTGCTCGGTAATAGTCATACAATTCTGCTTTTTTCAGGGGATGTTATTATGTTTTTGGAACTCCTTGCCCATGAGAATACCATGTGTCTTAATTTTTGTTCAAGCTTCATTTGTCAAGGAACAAAATGTTAGGGTTCAGAGGTGTTTAAGCTTCATAACAGGTGTATTATGTTTCAATTCCATTCAAGCCTAATCTTAGTCCTTAAGAAGGTTTGGAGGGTCAAGATCTTGGGTTCCATCCATAAATAGAGGGCTCTGAAGAGATGTGCATGAAACTTGGTTCCTCTTCAAGATAGTTTTCAGGAAGAGTGTACATTCAGTCCCACAAACAGTTATGGTTTGGAGGTGACTTTTTCAGGCACAGTCAGAAGTTCTGCAAACAGTCAGAATTTATGCTGTGCTCCTTAGAGGTGACAGAAATTTTCTTCCCTCTAGTCTGACGACAGATTCCGAATTAACTGGTGCCTCGGTCGAATGGCTAGCGTAGCAGGTAGGAAATGGATCCTTTTTGCCCTTTCTTTTCTCCTCCCTACCCCCAGAAATAAGGGTTATGTAGTCATGGACAGCTGTATTAGTCTGAAAATCGTGTCTCAAGAGTTTTCAGAGAAGGTAGTCAACTACTTTGAGTGCTTCTTCCTCTTCTTTTCTCCCTGTCAGTGTAAAAGCCCACTTTACTGTGAAGCAGGTTTTATGAAAAGCACTGGTGGAATAACTTTGAGCTTTGATGCTACAGTAAGAGGCTGGCAATAAAAAGGGACTGACTGAGAAGTGAGCTGAGCAGAATATTCACTGACTCTTGTTCTCCTGGCCTGGATTTTCACTGAACTGTAGGCATTGAGAGCCATCTACAGCTTTTTTCTGTAGAAGACCTGATAGTAGAACTGTACCTGAAGAAAAACCTAAAGGAGCCATCCAAGACATGGGTGTCTAGAAAACTGGATGCCTGCCTGTGGGATTTCTCCAGTAACACCAGGTATGTTGGCTGGTTCTTTGTGTAAATGTGTGTTAGCATGTCCTGGTGCTCTTCAGACAGCTTGTGTGCAGCTAGGCCTTCCAATCAGAAATGCTTCTTGTCATGTCATAAGTACAACTGAAAATGAAAATTACTTTTGAAGAAGTGTAAAGACAGGTGGCTTTTTAATGCTGAGTCTGAGGCCTAATTTAAAGGAAGGGTGTAAAAATGGGAATAAAATACATTGTGGCATTTAACTGGAATTCACAGAAGTGAGAAGATTCAGGCTCTTAGAAGTATAATTTGTATGGGACCTGGCTGTTGCTATACATCAAATGCTGCATGCTGCTGCTGTGATGAGGGACAAAGGATGTTTGCCACTGGTATAAATCAAGTTCTCAAGGATAGGATTAAGCAAGATCCTGTCTGTTCTTTTTTTTCTTCCAGAGCAAATGTTCTTTATTACACAGCTGGAATACTATTTACTTTGTAGGATCTGTACTTTCTCCCCCCCTCCATGTCTTCAAGAGTAAAGCTTTTCCTGCTTTCACATTCTTCTGTGTTGGTGCAAAAAGTGGTGTGTAGCTTGCAGCGCTGCAGGAGCCTGTTGGGTGATGATGCATTTAATTTAGAAATAGATTTTAACTTTTCCTCTGCTTGGAAGTCTGCTTGGAATATGGATTTCAAGACCAACTGAGTTCATCGGTGTCACTTTGTCTTTTTGTATGAGGTAGTTTTGCATTTCCACAAGTATCTTCACACTAGAGGAAGAGTTTAAGGCGAATGGAAAATTGCGCTCTAAAACGGACATTTGGAAGGACAGTGAGGATGCTTATGCTATGAGGAACTATTTCATCTTAATGGGAAACTTCAAATGGTTACCTTTAAATTCCATTTGTCTCTCAGGGTTCTCTTTTCTTCCTGCCACCCACCTCAGCACAGAGCAGATTGCCTGATAACCAGGCTTTTAACTCTGCATAAACTACTTAGGGCACAGCTGCTAAACTCTGGTCCTCTGTGAAATTTTCAAGGTACTACATGGTCACTGCGACAAAAAGATAATATCTTTAATGTTTGCTCCCGTTCCGTCTGACCAGACCAACTATTCATGTTGGTTAACAACATAGGTGCTTCTGAAATGAGCCTGAACTTTGTTTTGCGTAGGTGCAAGTGGCATGAGGAGAACGATATAGTCTGCTGCGCTTTGGCATCCTGTAAGAAAATTGCGTGAGTATTGCTATGGAGTTCTCTCTGGTATGATGACTTTTTATTTTGTCAGTATTGCAGAGTAGAGAGAAGTGTCAATTGCATTAGAATTCATTGTTTTTCTTTGGAGGTTTACTGTATTTGGTGAGAAATTCTCAGTATATTCTAGTATGTCTCTGCTTTGGAAACGTTTATACTGCCTTGTATATAATGTAGAGTCATAAGGTCGTATTCTCTTTTTGGTGCGGAGAAGGGAAAAGTAAATAGCTGAGAAATGAGGAAATGCCATTTGTGATCTCAGTCAGTAGTAGTAGCAGCACTTAGAAAGACAATAATGAATGTCTTTCATTTAAAAAACTCTTTAGGTGTTGCTGTGCGTTGCCTTTCACAGTTCTAAGTGCTGCATTTGATTGTGTGGGGAAGCAGTTATTTTTGTTTTGTGTGTAGTTGTAGAATAGGCTGGTGGTCTTGGAAGGATGCAGAGTAACTATTTAGCTGCTGCTATAAAGTCTTCTGCCCTCTGGGATCTGCTCTGTGCATCTCAGGTTGCTTTTGTTTGCCAGTTGAGGAATTTGAAATTATGTACTTCCATACATAAGCATTACAACCCTCTTAGCCAAACTTTCCTTGTTTTCCTTTTTTTCTGGGTCAAGTTACTGCATCAGTAACTCTTTAGCCAGTGTGTATGGAGTCCCACTAACAGCAGCTCACCTACCTCTGGGAGTCTCTCATTGTGGTCAAAGCACAAGTACCAGGATTGTGAAACTGGATGCTGGTTTTCAGGTCAGATTCTTTAAACTGATACTCTGATTTATTTGTAGTTCATTTGAGTGTTCAAACTTGCTGATTTCAGGTGAGCTGTTTTCTCTCTGGGTGCTGCCCTTTGTGACATCTGTTGGGCAGACTGATGAACCTGTGGTTTTTTTGACCATAATTCATAGGTTTCATGCATAGTGGTGTAGAACACATGTCATTTTGAATGCTTATTTCTTCATACAGAAAATGAAAGCTGAGAGTTCTGGATATGACAGACCTTTTGGTTCTCCAAGTCAGGATCGTGAGCTTATCCCTTCTAATCGTGAGTTGGAAACTTTCACATTTTTAAGGGAAAAGAGATATTTAAACTTAATCCCGTTGTTTCAAATTTCTGGGTTTAAATGTTGCTTGTCAGTGGCATAAAGCTTGCACAGCTCTGCATGGGCTGTGCCTATTCCTGCATATGGATTTCACTGAATTTTGGAAGACACAAACAAAGAGCTGCCCTTTTTTTACAGGACACAATCTTAGAGTCAGAAAAGTCTCTCAAAATTTAGCTTTTCTTACAAATGCTGCTTTTTGATGTGTACCCCCTTACTTTTCTGCTACATGCAGTCTGTTCTCATAAGCTTAGGTGCTTTGAGGCAGGGGTCATCTTGGAAATACTCTCCTTGCTCTTAAATCAGTACCTGTGCAAACTCAGCTCGTCCTTGTTGCAAGTTTTCTGTCACAACTCAGTTTATAAAGATTGCTCATTTAAAGATGTCTTTTTGAAATTAGGATTTCTTTACTAGAAGGCACGTGAGCTCAGTTCATCTGGGCAGTCTGTGGCTAACCTTCAGAGGAACAGCATCAGGTTTGCAAGATACATAACTGTAAGAATTCTGGGTTTGCAGCTTATTTTCTTGCTCAAAAAGATCTGCTGAATTAAACTCTGAAACTGTTCCACTTATAAATCAGGAGATCTTATGGTCTTGGTGTACACTTCTGTGGAGGACACAACCTGTCTAACTGTTTGTATTAGAGCTATGGAATAGCTTCAGCTCCTCAGCATATGAAGAACAAAGAACATTGATTTGTGCAAGCTGTAAAGGCTGATTTGATTTGCAAACTGTATTTAATTTAATAGGTGGTTCTCCGTGTGGTGTGAAGACTTCCCTTGGTGTGAAAGAAGTGTCATACAGGGAAGAGGAGTTATTCCATTTCTGAAAAGTGCATCTGATCTATTCAAATCTTTCAGTTTTTGAAAGTCTTTTTTACATTCAGGACAGCTGTAAATTCTAATTTTCTTTGTTTCTAAGAAACCCAGTAGTAGAGACTGCAGTTTTTCACCTGTAACCCTTGACAGTCCAAGTTTTTGTTAGAATGATAAAACTATTGACTAGATTTAAATAAGATAAAAATCTTGTTTGTTATCTACAGAAAGATTTGTTTTGAAGGGACCTGGCAGTTGCATCTTTAAAAATACATGCCCTACTATTTCTGTTTCTTAATGAGTGGAGTGCAAATTCGAGATTGATTAATCAATATAATTGAGTTGGAAGCATTCTTTGGTGTCAGTGTGACTTTAAACAAGTGCTTTATTTCTTCTGTAATAACCTTCTCCTCTTCTGCACGTGGAGGACAGAACATAGGAGTCTCTCTCCAAAAAATAGTGCAGGGGGAAGCATTGAAGGTATGAAGGGGAATTAAAGGTACAGTAGTCCTGAAGGTTTCTGTAACTGATCAGTTTTAGCCATGAAGAATTTGAGTGGCCTTTCAAGGCAAGAAAGCAGACTTGATATGAAGCATCTTGAAAGAAATACTATAGCAAATTTATCTTATTTGTTAATGTTCTTAGAGGCATAGACTATGTTGTGTGCATCAGGAGAAAGTACAACTTTTAATTTTTTAAAAAATTTGCATCAGTTTTCTTTTTAAGAAATGCATGTCCCTCAAACTTACAGACTGGAGAGAAGTCTGAGTATTTTGTTGTTTTTTTTTTTCTTTTTTTTGAAAAGAGTATCGAATTCAAAGTGATACATTTAACAAGTTTAGCCAGGCTGGGTATATACTAGTCATAATTATTTGAGGGCACATAAAGAAGTGGAAGACTAACATTCTTCAGGGAAAATAGTTGTTCCATTTTATGGAGCTACAGTTCTTGGACTAGTCACCAAAAAGTTGTCTGACCCTTGTCCATGTGTGTTTAAGCAATGGATTCTCAGAAATAAGAGATTTTTTTTTTTTTTAGTTGTTTCTATGTTTTGTTTCAACAGAGGTCCAGCTTTGAAAAACTGTTTCCATGGCAACTAACTGTGTGAAGGTACTTATTTCATTCCTTGTAGGTACTGAAACTCAAGATTAAGTAGTTCACTCTCTTGAATAGGAAAAAAACCCCAATAAAAGAAATGCAAACAAAATACAATACTCAATTAAAATGAGAGGTTTATTTATGGATAAATTCAGCCACGCTGATCAGTGTGTCAAAAAAGGCCAATTGCTGTTATAGTTGGAAATCTGTTACAGCTGCTGTAAGGCCAGTTGAGGCCTTTTCTTCCAGTGTTGTAGGATCACTGAGGCATTTTCATTCTTCTTTTTGAACTGTTTGCTCCATCACATAATTTGCTTGTATTATTCTGTGATTGCTTCCTTTGAGGCTACTGTCCGACCTGCTGATTTTCACCAAATAAGGGACAATAAACCTCTGAGACTGATATCCACCCCTGAAGCACCTGGGAACGTTGTAACAGGATGAGTGTGTCTATCTAGTAGTGCTAAAGGCTTCCCTGCATTTGTATAGAGTTGTTGAAGTTCTGAGTTTTGTAACTGGCAGTCACTGCTGTGTTGACATTTCAAAATGTACGGAATTGTAATCTTTGAATTATTTTGGGAGTTCAGTGTTGCAATAAAAACTTCCTGTTTCAATTCTTACGTAGAAGAGAATCCTTCAAAAAGTATTGTTAAAAGACTTATTCAGAGTTAGGTGCACAAACCTAAGAACATTTGTTATTATGCTTAATGTGTTCTATGTCAAGAGTGAGATAAAGAAGCTGAGCAGGAGTGGAGAAAAACCGTTAGGATTCCGTGTCATATCTGTGCCTTATCACCTGTAACTTAAAATAGCACATAAGCTGTAGAAGATCTAATTGTATGCAGCAGCAGTGGGCTGTTAACTGGAGCAGTAACTCTTACTGTAATAACCAACAACCTACAGCAGGATTTTTTGTTAGTGAAAACCATAAGATCTATATAATTAGAATAAGTACATTTACTTGATGTAACCCATTTATTACTATTATATCGCATATATTGAGGGTGATCCCTAACAGCCTCTGAAGGGTGATAGAAAATTCTTTCATTTTGGAGCTCTGCTTCCTTAGCTGCTTTGCAATTTGGAACTCTGTTTGGTTTCTCAAAAAATAAATTCCAAAAAATAATGTGTGAAAATTAATTCTTGAAAAATAAACACAGTCAGCTAATGTTTCTCTCCATTAAGTAAAGGAAAGTAAAGATGAGGGAGAGATGGTGAGTTGGAACTGTAGCACTCCTTATAAGTGCAAGGAATAGGACTGGTGAGGCACAAATTGTGGGTCACAATTAGGGTAAAATTCTCCCCACTTGTATGACAAGGTTCTCAAGGGGAAGTAAAACCAAGTAAGGGCAGAATGGCCTTGAGCAGAGTTTGAGTGATGCAGCCTGGGAGCTTTAAACATGTACTTTCCAAGTGGTAAAAAGTAACAGCGATGATACTCTCTGTCTGTAGGGGGTGTAGGTACCGGCTAAGGAGTTGTGTTTGTAAACAAGACACCTGATAGATTCTGTCAGACCTGGCTTTCTGTCCTGTTTATGTAGCTGCTCATTCGCTTGACAGGAACGGGTAAAAATCATCCTGGTTTTATGTACACATTGGAAAGTTACTCGGTGGTTTTGCTCTTGTTATAATAATAGTAGACAAATGGTTGAATTATGCATTGCTACTCTTTAAAGGTTTTGGCTGGAATAGTTTGAGGGTTGTGAAGGCTGTGGTGACAACTTTGCTGATCTAGTGTATGGCATCAGTGTATTGACTTGTTAATCACATTCTTTTATATTCTCTTCAGAGTAAGTAACTGATACTGAAAAACAAAGCATGTTAATACAGAGTTAGCAGCAGTTACTGGTTCTGTGTATATAAGCTGTGAATTAAATGTCACTTTTAGCCCCTGGTGGTCTAGTGGTAAAGGCGCCGCGCTATCACCGCGGAGACCCGGGTTCGATTCCCGGTCAGGGCCACTCCCGGGCTGATGGAGCTCGTTAGCCCTTAAAGGCAACCCACCTACGTCCTAAGGACCTCACTGTCACTGTCCAAGCTCGCTTGGCCCCAGCAGATGAACCTTAGGATTAAAGGGTGGGCTCAGTTCCGCGCACACTGTGTCTCACCTAAAAAATCCAATGCGCAGGCTGGAAGGTGGAAAGACCTTCCCCGGATCTTCGCTCGCGAAGACTGGCCATTATTATTAAATGTCACTTTTGCATTGCTGGCTTGTCCACCCTCTGCTTTCAATAAACTGCAGAAACTAGATCTGTGGAAGAAGTTTCTGTTGACCCCTGTCTCTGTTCCAGCATTCTCTTAAATACATGCATACATTCTGTGCATACAGAAATACCTGGGTTTGACGTCTTTAATTTGAAATGTGTTTTGGAAAGCTGATCTTCCCAGTAAAGATCAAGGCAGAAGCAGCCTTATCCTTGTCCTTCATGATCACCTCCCTATTCCCATTCAGATGCACCCACAGAAATCCTTTTTTTTGCCCTTCATATGCTTCATCAGATTGAGCTTTTGGTGGGCTTTGTCTTTCTTATCCCCATGCCTGCGTACCCACACAGCATCTGTGTTTCTCCCCAGTTGCTTGTCCCTGCTGCCATCTCCCATGTGTTTCCTTTTCATGGGTGAGTTTTGTCCTGAGCCCTTTGGTCAACCTCTGCTTGTTTGGCTGTTCAGCTTGTGGGAGGTGATACTTAAAAATCAACAGGCTCACCTGGACCTCTCTTCAGGACCGTACGCCACAGGATTCTCTCAAGCAGATCTCTGAACGAGGCCTCTGAAGGCTGCTCTGCTGAGCTCCAGGGTTGTGATGCTGCTTTTTGCTGTTTTCCTCCCTCTTAGAATCCCAAATGGCCTGTCAAATATTAGGCATTGAGCTTTGCTGTTTGGGTGCATGTCAGACTGGAGGAAGCAGTGCTGTGATCCTTGATAAAATGGCGCAGTTGGTGCTCATCCCACAGGGAGTGTTCTGTGACAGGTCCCCAAGAGTGAGTTCCAGGCTGAGTCATGCCCAGCTGGAAGAGTTGCTTCCATTTGAGACACTGAGCAGTCACAATCAGGTGGTGGTGTGTTCCTAAGTATTTGTGTTGGGTGAATGAAAACCTGTATTCCAGGAAGCCCTGTCTCAATTTCCTTGCAAAATAGTTGTAGTTTTGTGTTCCTGATATCTTTAGGAAAATCTGCATAATTATCACAGAGAGCCTGTGGTTTTCGACCTGTTAGGATTAGCACTTTTAAATTCAACTTTGTGCTAGCAAGAATTTCAAACTTTGCCCAGAAGTGAAATGACTCAAATATATCTGTAAAACTGGGTTTAATTTCTGGTTGATAGATAGAGGTAGATACTCATCATGCAGATGACTGCAAAAGCTTTAACAACATCTTTCCATTTGGCAGAGTAAATTACTGCAGTGGAGCAGGAGAAAAACAAGTTTGTTATCTAGTCTCTGTCCTCTTGATGTCTTCTGCTGGATTATCATCCCTCACTGTCACCCTAGAATGGCCAGCCAATAATTTTTATTCCAATGATTTAGTAAAATGAAGAGATTGGCAAACACTTCTACTAGTCTAACCCTGTGCTATCTCTGCTCCCTCACTTTTCCTTGGTTCTGTGTTAGAGAAGTTTGTGAGAGCTCCTAATTGCCATTTATCAAATAATTCCCCTCAATCCCTAGTGAACAGGTGAAATACAGGAGAGAGAAGTTACAAATTCCCTTGTCTTCCTTTATATTTGGCTGTAATATATTTAGTACCAGTTCCAGTGCATCCAAAATTAATCTTGATGGTTTGATCATCATACTGTGAACTTCATCAGCTAGAAGACTGCCTCGGTGTCTTTCCTGGAACAGATGATACAAATAAATAGAAAAGGAGTGCTGTTACTCTAGCAACAAGAATGGTGAGATAATTAACTCTTGTCTGAATTGTGCACTGTACTGAATCTTGGAATGGGCTGTGGGATCAACAGCTCCTCTGTAATGCTGGAAATACTTCTCAGGATGCTGAGAAGAGTGAGGAAGGCAGTGAGAGCAGACCTTTGGGGTTATGTGGGAAATGGGGAGGGGGTGGAATCCCTGAGGGAAGCTCTCGCAAATAAAGGAGTTCATTAAGTTTGGCATTTCATTAAGAGCAGGGTTTTCCAAGCACAAGAGCAGTCCAGGTAGATTGATTTGGGGGACTGTCTTCTCTTCACAGAGATCTCATGGCTGCACCCCAGTTCTAGTGCAGTGTGAGGGAGTTAGAAACAGGAGTGGACTACAAAGGAAGAGTCCACAACCACTGGCCAGGTCTGTAGGGATGGTGTTTGGAAAGCCCACACTCACCTGGAATTGATGCTTGCAAGGGATCAAGGTTAACAAGAAGAGCTTTTGTGACTGTATAAGCAGTAAAGGACTGAACAGGAAAAAGTGGTCCTGGTGCTTAACGATGCAAGTGATTTAGTAATGCAGAGAAGGCTGAGGTGCTCAGTACCTTCTCTGTCTCAGTCTTTTCTAATAAGGTCCCCTAACTCTATACTCGGGAAGAGTTCCAGGAGAACAGCAGCAGTGGATGAAGAGTGAGTCAGAGATCAGTTGGGAGTTCTAGACCCATCCGAGTCCTGGAGCCAGAGGGGCTGCATCTGAGGATGCTGAGAAAGCTGCCTGATAACTTTTCAAGGCTGTTTTCTCACCTTTGAAAGGTGACAGAAAGTCCACAGTAATGGGAGACAAATACTGCACCTATCTGTCAAAAGGGTAGTCTAGGAAAGCATAGGCTGCTCAGCTCCACTGGATCCTTAGAACAATCATGGAGTGAGTCCTCTTGGAACACTCTTTTGGGTACATGAAGGAGAAGAGGGGGTCTGGAAAGAGTCAGCATGGATTTGCCAAGATTAAGTCATGCTTGACTAATCTGGTTGCTCTCCATGATAGGTTTGTGAATAATGAAAGTTGAACATAACAGTAATTTGCTGTTAGGTGTGTAAAAGGATAAAGCAGGAATTTACTTTTCTGCCTGGTCATATGTTTTCTCCTTAATTCCTGTCTTTTGAGGGAAGTGAGTATTGAAGTTGGGTATGCACACACGAAATCTCTGGAATTAGTTAAGTATCACTAGCTTTCTTCATCTTCCCTCCAAATACATTACTGGTGGTTTAATTTTGTTTAAGGTTGTGGTTATACTGCAAGTAAGTCCTGGAGTTACTCCTGCTTCGAAGACAGACAAGTAACTAATTCAGTCACAGAAAAACCTTGGAGTAAGGTAGAAATTTGAATATATGTGTCTAAATTTAACAAATTGGTTGAGGGAAAACACATAAGGCATTCTGATAAATGCACTACTTCCAAGATATTACTCTTATCAAAAAAGGGAAAAATTATAAGCAGCACTGAATTATCTCAGCCATGTCTTCATGTGCTGTCAGTTTATTTCTCAGTGTAGAACTGAACTTAGTGTTGCAGAACTTTAAGTAGTTCTTTTTCAAAGGTTGTCAAGTTGGTCTCTCTTCCTTTTTCCCCTTCTTGTTCTTGTGGAACGTGCTTACAGGGAATTGAATCCATGTTTTGGGGGGTCATTATGTAATCTCTTCTGTATTTCGTGGCTGGTTTATTCAGATAACATAGTGCAGTTTTGCTAATCTGCATTTTTCTCTGTGCCTAAAATGACCAGAGTGTTCCTTCAGGGTTTCAGCTGACAAGCAGCAATTAAGCCTCACATATCCTGAAGGGGGAATATGGAACAGGTAGCACAGTGTTATTTAGTGGCCAGAACCACTTTCTGGCTATAAATACTGCTGATAATTGTCAAGTCCTTTTGCTGGTCTTCCCAGCTAAGATCTTTGAGAATCCACACTACTGTCCCTCAGCAGAAGCCCTCTTCAGCCACAGGGTTCTGGTGGAGGGAGCAGGGTGTGCTGACTAACGTCTGTAACGCTTAGAAATAGCTTTTGTTTCTCAGTAAAACTGTGTTATAGTGCTAATTAGATAATTCACACTATACTTGCTTGTTACAAAAGAGAATAAAATACATACCAACTCTGTTTCTGAGCCATGCACTTCATTTTTTATCTGCCTTCAGCTTCTGTATGCAACCTTCTTTTTTAGTCAGCCATTTTTGCAGTGTTTTGTCATGCGTCATGGGAAAAGGTCCTCAGAATGTCTTGCTGAGCTGCATTTCAGGTTGTTCATTGCCAGAGAGATTTGGGTTTGCGTGCTCTTTGTAAAGAGCTCCTGTTGTTGGTCTTTGCAGTGGTTATTGCTACAAATGAATAATTGTATTTTAAAATACTGTGTAAAACAAAGGCAGTCAGCCAAAATAACAGTTCTGGTAGGGTGATTTTCATAGTTTGAAATCTAGAAAATGCTGGTCATGTGTGGGAGGATTGCTGGTTCTTCTTTGGAGTTAAATTTTAGATTTTCATTACAGTAATTGTTTGAGAATAAAGGGTGTGTGGGAGGCATTTCAGTAAGTTTCTGAAACTTCTGAAGATGCAAGAGTGAGTTTTGAAAGGATAAATATTTTACTGTAAATAATTTATTGAACATGTCTTTAAAAAAAAACACAACCAACCAACAAACAAAAAACCACCAAACAACCCTGAACCAGCTGTTAATTAATTTTAATACCCTGCTGACAGTCTTTTGGACAGACAGTCAGCTCTCTTCCAAAGATACCAGTGGTGGGAGTTCTCTCCATGTTTGCACACACCTTGTGCATACAGTCCTTCTGATTAAATGGTTACAGTTTTGAATAAAAAGGTATTTTTCCTTCTTCCCACCTCCCCCCCCCCACACTTTTTTCCTAGTTAAAGATGCACCTGCTATATACGTGCTCTCACACTGTCATTTTTTCAGAAGTAGCAGCAGGAGCAGGGGACGATTTCTGATTTGCCTGTGCAACAATCAGGAGGAAAGAATAACATAATGAGAATTAGTATTTAGGAACTCTCTGAATTCATAAACTCAGGAATCTGACAGTATCTAGGCTCTTAGCCTGTTTCTGGATCTTATTAGCTGCCAATTACAAGTCCATCTAACTTCTTATCCATGGATTAGTGTTCATCGTTGTCCCAAACAGGAGACTTTCATGGGTCATCTATGAATTTTTTCCCATATCGTTATTTATGTGTTCATGTATAATATGTGCAAAGAACACATTTAATGTCCTTAAAAATCAGCTTGCTTCGATCTCCATAGAAAAAGCTGCTGTACTGGATGATGCTGTAAGCTGTGACATTTGTATGGCACCGTAAACAAGACCCCTCCTTCCTCGATGAATTGCAGTTGGTGACCTTGAAACCTTCTCCGTAGCTGGGGCTACAGCAGCAACTCTGTTCTCCAAATAGACCTGACTGGTTTCTTTTTTCAGAAAGTGGGGGAGTCTAGAAAGACTGGTTATTTTCGGATGACTGGGTGCAACAGTGCTCCACACGTGTTTTTCTTCTGTGAGGTTATGTTATTAGCACTCATTGTACATAAAGCACTTCTTTGCAGGGAAACAAAGATGTTCTCTCCCAGAACTTGAAGGTAGAGCCATTAGCTTTCATTTTATTATTCACTTCTTGCAGTAAGAAAGAGGGACTGATTTCTTTTCTACAGGGGTGATTGTGCCTCAGCAAATCCTGAAGATGGCATTGGCCTCTTGCTTCTTTCTTCATGCATTTGCAACATCCTCCTCTGTGCTCTCCTGCCTTGTTGGCATCTCCTTGGAGCGTTCATTCCTCTCTTCTTGCACCCTAAAATATTGTTCAGGAGTAGAGATGTTAATTAAAACCAGTTAGAAGCCTTACTGAAGAGATTTTGTTAGAGGAGCTTTACACTGCTCTAAGCTTATTGGAACTGTACCAAACAGAACTCCATAAATTAAGCCTTGCTGGTGATGCAAGAGATGTATGAGCTCCATTTTGTTCTTTCACAGCATGTATGCTAATTCAGCTCCAAGGTTTTGATTCTACCCTGGAGGCCACAAATCTGTCTGGCACTACTGGACATACTCCATGAGAAGAGATGGGAGCCACTAGGCTGGAAACTGAGAGGGGAAAGCAGCACACGCTTCCCTGGATTCCTTTCTCCTGTGCTTTCTATTCCGTATGTTGATGCTGGAGGGGGAATGAGAACCCTTTATATGTTCCATTCACTCTTGCGGGGAGAGGCACTTACGTCATCTCGTAGTCGCTGTCCTTGCCACCCTGGCGGCAGCAGCAGCAATAGGCCAAGATCCCGATCACTATGATTGCAGCAACGACTCCAGCGATGATCCCGGCGTACAGAGCGATGTTCATGGATGCTGCAAGGGGAGGAGAACATTAGCCCTTGGCAGGGAGAGTGATGGTCAGCACAATCACTGGCCTTCAAACCCCACTCCCAGGTGTCAGATCTCCCTACCACATCCAGACTGAGTGGAAGCCACATTTGTTTGGCTGCAGCAACTGGAGTTAATTCTGTACTGGGTAGTCAGTAAATCTGCAGGAACAGTTAGTGATAGGGAAGAGTCCCTGGATCTGAGCAACTGCTGTACTAATTCTGTGAGTTAGTGAGTGCTCTACCCACACTAAACCAGTGGAGAGGGTCTCTTTCAAAGGTGTGCAGCAGCCAGATAACAAACTTGTTATTCCCCTCCGTTAACCCTTTACATCTTAGCTTGGGTACTTTCTCTGGTCCTGCTCCTCCAGTGAGCAGCCCCTTCTCTTACGTGGCACAACGCTGACTGTCATGTTGCAAAACTCCGTCCCCACAATGTTTGTTGAAGTGCAGATGTAGAAGCCAGAGGTATCCGCTGAGATGTTCTTCAGAGTTATTCGTTCCCCTGTTGTGAAACACAAATCCAGTCCGAAAGAGAAAAGAATTAAAGCAGGGAAGGAGGTGGGGACAGCAGCCCTTCAATTCCAGCCCAGGGTGGTTGGAGTGATGAGAGGTGCTTAAAGCTGATGGATTGTTCTGATTTGCTCTGGAGCTGCCGTGCTCATCACTGGGTTTTAGTGTGATTTGTGGGAGGACAGACGGAAGTGTGCTGTTTAGATTACAGGGAATCTGTGGTATTTGAACATTCCTTTTAGAAAGAAAACTGTAAGTGGAGGGTAGAGAAGTATGTGTGCTTAGTGACAGCTTTTTTTTTTTTCATTGGATTTTGCTGAGAAATATAAGATGCCCAAACCACCATCTGGCTTTCAGAACTGGCCCTCGAATGAATTAACTTGTAAAAGAACAAAAAGTTCTTCAGTCTTCCAGCTCTTAGGATTTCCGACCTGAGTTATTTAGCAGTGGAGGGAAAAGTTTTCTAGTCTGAGAGAAGCCACACAGGCTATGAAAATAAATGAAGAAAAAAAAATGCAGTGACATGACTCTTATGATACTGGTGTTTTGTGTCCAGCCTAACAGAGCTCAGCACCATAGGCTGAAGCTTAGGCAGTCAGGCAATCAGTTTTTGTTTGTTATGTCTCCAGCTGATGTTTGTATGTGTAGTCCCTGCTTTTTCTTAGAATAAAGGTCCAAATCCTTGCTCTAAAAGCAAAAGACTGAACACTTTCCAGTGCCTTTCCTGTTTTCTTTTCCCTGTGATCTCACTTCTTTGTGTTCATTCTCTGCTGGCGCCTAGTGCCAGATAGTAAAATAGCACACAAACTGAGAAATGATTGATCCATTTTGTTTTTATTTTCTTTTAGTCTCTACATACTGCCTGTGCTTATTTATATTTTCTCTTTTTATTTTATTTTTGGTGTGATGTTTGTATCTCTGAGTTGCAGAATATGCTTGCAATGCAAATCCTCTGGTTAAATTCAAAGTGAGTCAAACTGGAAAAAATGTGGGTCAGATACTATCAATTTTGGAGTGTCTCCTGAGGGGGTTCTGCACACTTTGCAGCAGTAGGACTTGCTTAACACAGAAAAAAAGTGCTTGTAGCGACAGTCCAACCCGCTTGGGGCACAAGGGGACGGTCGGCACACTGTTGGGACACGGGTGCTCTGGTGAAAACAGCAGCGAGGAGGAAAGGGATCAGAGGAGACCCTGGGGAGAGCAGGATGGCAGCAGGAGCAGCAGCTGCTGCTATAGCACGTCCCACGTGCTCAGGGCTGTGCGTGATGCGCTGGCACCACTTAGTGGCCAGAGAGATGAATAAGGTTCGTGTCCCCGGTGATGCTTCATCCCTGGTGTATTTTATACAAGAATCGGCTTGAGTGAGTGTTGAATATCCTGTGGCATCCATCATATTTAGTTTACCTCCTCCAGTAAGTTAAACTGGGAAGGGTAGGCTCAAATACTCAGTCTTTCTGAAGCTGGACAGGCCAAGAAAAAACAAAAGCTTAATGGAAAAAATGAGTCCTCTGTCACTGCCATATTTAAAAGAGTATTAAACCTTCCTTTCTCTACAAATAGTTCTACTGAAGGTCTTGCCTTGGAAATTCAGTTCCCTTTTCTTTACAGATTCTGACATAAAATGGAAGCAAATAAAATATTTGGGCTTATATGTCAGTCCTGAAGAACCAAAAGCCTCTTTTATGCTCAAAGCAGGAATGATGTAACTTTCTCATGCTACCTTCCTCTAAGTGAGGAATCATCTCTGGAAGTAAAGTAGCTTCCAGAGCCATCTTTTGTTACCTTCACCCTAGGAAGCGATCTGGTCACTGTCAAGTAAACTGGGATGCAAAGACAAATCAATTAGAAAAGTCAATGCTGTTCCTCTTACACCCAGCAGTCGAGAATGATTTCTGGCTGCTTCCAGGGAGAGACAGCTTCCTCAGCAGGTGAGAGCTGAAGTTAAAAACTTACTGACCATCCTTACTTCAGGTTACAATGCTTTTCCTCCTGCTGAGTTACTTATGAGCATGTCTTGTATCAAAAGGACAACTTTTCAAAATCCTAATCGGGGAACGATCTAGAAAAAGCCTGAAGAGTATTTGCATTTCAAAAGCTTTCCAGCCCTCATCTGCAAAGAGCTCAAGGACTTGATATCTTTAAATTTCCCCTACCTTCTGTGTTTTCTAGTGCTCGGGGCTCATTTTGTATATTGAAGCTTGTCCAGGTATATTTGGGCTTTGGGGAGCCCTCATGAGACAGGCAGGTTAGGTTGATTGTCTGTCCATACTGTGGTGTCCCCAGAATCCCGCAGTCAGGCTTGGATGGTGCAACTGAAGGAAGAAAAAAGCAAGTAATTTTATTAATTAGACACAGTTTCTTGTTTCAGCCCATCTCCTGCTCCTGTAGTTTTTATTCTTGCTAAACAGAGGCTGGCCTTCCATCTACCACCTTCTTCTCAAAGGAACTCCAGTGAATTTGTACCTAATTTGTTTCTCCCTTCTTGGCACTGGAAAGACAAGAAGGAATTGTAAAATGCTTTTTGGGGTGTGTCTAGTAGTGTTAGGTGTTATCCTTTGATAACTGGAATATGACAAGGCACAGGGGGGATGAGGAATGCTCTGTAACGAGGCATGGATTATTAGAGAAGTGAACTATACAACTCTAAAGACTATTTTCTAGAGTCAGGTGTCTGAGGGAGTTGCGTGCTCTAAGCCTTCCGACCCACTTCCATATTAGCAGGAAAAGACCAAAGATGGAATTGTGGATGACAACTTCCTCTTTTTTTTTTTTTCCTGTTAGAAAATCTGTTGTTTAAAATAATACGGATATTAGAGGAAGGGCAGTTTTGTCTCATGAGTGTGGCTTTGTCTCCATCCCCCTGCTTACCAAGGACAAAGAGGGACAGGACTGCGCTCTGCCGGGGGGAGTCGTTCCTCAGGCGGACGGAGCACACGTATGTCCCATTGTCCTCCATGGTAACGTCGCTGATGGTGATGCTGATGTCCCCACTGTTCACATCACCACTGAACTGGACACGGTTCTCGTAGCCCTCACCATACTGTACAAATCCATCAAAATACCTTGTGACAGCGTCAATCTGGTGGAGAGGGAGAGAACGGGGTCGGTCGCAGTTCCTTCTGTGTGAGTCTACAATGTCACCCAATGAATTAGCCCAGTCCTGGGAGCAGCCTGGGAGAGAAGGCCTTGAACTGCACCAGTTTGACAAAATGCCAGGAAAAACACAGAAATTCAAAAGGGTCTGTGTTTCTTTCATAGAATCATAGAATCATAGAATCATAGAATCATAGAATAGATTGGGTTGGAAAAGACCTCCAAGATCATCAAGTCCAACCCCTGATCCAACTCTAATTACTATATCATGGCACTAAGGGCCATGTCCAATCTCTTTTTAAAAACTTCCAGGGATGGTGAATCCACCACCTCTCTGGGCAGGCCATTCCAATGCCTGATCACCCTCTCTGTAAAGAATTTCTTCCTAACATCTAACCTAAACTTCCCCTGGCAGAGCTTGAGCCCATGTCCCCTTGTCCTGTTGTTGGTTGCCTGGGAGAAGAGACCAACCCCCACCTGGCTATAACTTCCCTTCAGGTAGTTGAAGAGAGTGATGAGGTCACCTCTAAGCCTTCTCTTCTCTAGACTAAACAATCCCAGCTCCCTCAGCCTCTCCTCATAGGACTTGTGCTCAAGTCCCTTCACCAGCCTGGTTGCTCTTCTCTGGACCCGCTCCAGCACCTCAATATCCTTCCTGAACTGAGGGGCCCAGAGCTGAACACAATACTCAAGGTGCGGCCTCACCAACGCAGAGTACAGGGGAAGGATCACTTCCCTGCTCCTGCTGGCCACACTGTTCTTGATGCAGGCCAGGATGCCATTGGCCTTCTTGGCCACCTGGGCACACTGCTGGCTCATGTTCAGCCTCCTGTCAATCCAGACTCCCAGGTCCCTTTCCACCTGGCTGCTCTCCAGCCACTCTGTCCCCAGCCTGTAGCGCTGCAGGGGGTTGTTGTGGCCAAAGTGCAGGACCCGGCACTTGGCCTTGTTGAACTTCATCCCATTGGAGTCAGCCCAACTCTCCAGTCTATCCAGGTCCCTCTGCAGAGCCCTCCTGCCTTCTGGTAGGTTGACACTCCCTCCCAACTTGGTGTCATCAGCAAATTTGCTGATGATGGACTCAATCCCCTCATCTAGGTCATCGATAAAGATATTAAACAGGACTGGGCCCAGCACTGATCCCTGGGGGACACCACTGGTGACCGGCTGCCAGCTGGATGCAGCCCCGTTCACCAGCACTCTTTGGGCCCGGCCCTCCAGCCAGTTCCTAACCCAGCACAGAGTGCCCCTGTCCAAGCCATGGGCTGCCATGGACTTCCCTTCTTCCCACCTTATGTGAAATCAGAGACCACTGATTTCTTTTGCTGGGGCTTATTCACCTTTCCTCTCCATTACAGGACAAGGTGAGACTTGTCTGAGATCCATATGTTAATCAAATTCCCCTATGGTTACACAAATTCTTCCAGCAAGGATCTTCAGAGAATAAACCCTTGGCAGTTCTCGCAAGGAGATCTCCAAAGGCTGCTTCTTCTCTTAATAATTCTCAAGAAGTCAAGGAGAACTTTAAAAGTCTTCTTACCTTCAGATACTCCATATGAATGTAGGAGGCTTCAAGAATCTCTCCATGTACTATTACTATCAATTTGAAACTTTTTATATTGTATCAAAGATATGCATATATATAAATATATATGTATAGCACACATAGAATGTATTAAAAATATACATATATTTTTAGAAGGTATCTGAGTATTTAACATATTTTAATAGATGTAAACCCCACAGTACGTACTGTGATGTATCCTCAATAACCAGTAGTGAGACCAAGAGAGAGGAAAAAGAAGGGTGGGGGCTTGCCTAATGTTGTGCAACAGCTTCAGGATAAATTGCATCTAGATCAGCGTTTCTGTTCACTTAGTTCTGAGATTAAAAAACTCTTGAAGACATATTTTTCATCCCACACACATTCCTACCCACAGTCCTGCTTCCATCTCCCCAACCATGCCCCTCTTGGATGCCCTGACATGTGTTTCTCTATGATTTACCCCAGTGCTGATTTTGCTCCAGACAACAATGTCTCCCATGTCCACAGAAGCCTCAGTTTTGAAATTACAGCGGAGAGTTGCGTTCCTTCCTCGTGCCACCTGTATCTGCTTGGCCGGTGCTTCCACAGTGAGGGCACGAACAGACACCAGCACTGGGAAGAGAATAAATTCTGCACTCAGCAAAAGCAACAACATCTGGGTTCCACGTTTTGTTGCTTTGGCTTTCTCACGTGCCACAGTAACCCCACATTCCCGCTGTCATCCATGACATTCCCTGCTGAGCAAGAGGTGACTGATTGACTATAGGAAGCTGCTGCACAGGATGGTGGAGAGCTCAACTCTGCTCTTCATTGTGTGTTTTGAGGGAGAAGAGAAGAAGAGGGAGAGAAGGAGGTTCTTTGCCTAGACATATATTGCCATGGAGTTTAGAAAGATTTTTTTTTTTCCCTGAGGCCTCTTTCAGAATGACTGACATCCTTTGACATTTCAGAATATACAGAGGGACACATAAACAGATACTGCAAGTGCATCAGCAGTCTTAAGGATTCAGGCTAAACTAACAAAGTGATATTGTCAAATTTCAGGGATCAGGAAAACTGTTAAAGAACTTGCCTCAATCCAAGTCCATAGAAAAGCGACGTTTTATGCTAGGGAATCAAAACCTGTTCATGCAATGCCCTGAAAACAGAAAAACCTAGAAAAGCAAAGAGTGATTCAAAGAAATGAGGGAAGAATAGCTGTTAGTGTTCATAAATGAGTAAGGCAGTAGTCACCTTTCCCCAAGAACTCAAGTTCCTGCCCCTGGAGCACCGTAATAGTTGAGAGCTGAAAAAAACAGAAATCCCTCTGTGCCCTGGTGAAGCATGCAGGGCACAGGGCAGGTGTTTCTTGTAGACTGTATTCCATCTGAGTTGCTCTGAATTCATCATGTCTGAACATTACCTAGTGGGCAGTTTTTAGTTGTTCTCAGAATTGAGATGGACATTTGCCTCTGCCCTGCCATAAATGACCGTCATGCCTGTAGGGATCTGTGGTTAAAAACACCTGCTTTCTCCTAACAGTTTGTGTAGGTTCTGTGCTTGGGTTTGGTTTTTTTTAATGGCACCAAACTGAATCATTTGGAAGGAATGTAAATGGCAGGAAAGGAAGTGCTGCTCAGAGGCACTCCCACAGCACAGAGGAACGTCGTGCTGCAAGGAGGAGGGTTAAGGAGGGCAGAGATGTATGCTGACCCCTACGAGGGGCCTGCTGCATGTGGTAGGAAAGGTTTGCTTCAGGAAGCTACCTCAGTGTTCCCTGGAAAGGGTTTGTCTGAAAAGTTGCCATCTAACAAACTTTTGAGTCCTCGTTCTGCCATATCTTTGTCCAGATTAGATCTATAAGGAAGTGTAATGTGTAAGAGAAAAAGCAAGGAGTGTCTGGATCGAGTTGCAAACTGGCTGGGAATACCAATACCTGCTGTTTTAGACAGGAAAAGCCCAGCCACTTGCATCAGGTCAGTAAGAGAATGCCACTGGTGAGTTGAGCACCGCCAGATCCTTGACTAGCAGCAAGTGATAAAAAATAACAGTGTAGGGACTCGAGGTTTTGTTGCCACTTAAGAATCTGCAGGTGGCAATTCAGGTAATTACACTGGCACAGGAATGTGCTTTTAGCCAAAGGTCTCATCTTTCTGCATCCCCTGCCACCCAACCAAGTTGCTCTGTGGTCTCTCACAGTTCATTAGTTAGGCCTGTGTTTTAACCTCTTGCTTTGTGACATGGTGGCAGTGGTTTCTCTTCTCATGGAGGTTATTTCATTTACAGCTGCTGACAGCTATGAGAAGGAAACCATCAGGGCAAAGTATTTCTCGAATGCTTTTATTGCAGCCACTCCCTGGTCTTTTACCTGCTTTGGAGCACCCAGGGCAAGGTCCATGTTTGCGTAGCCCCAGAGCTCTTTCTGACTGTTGTTTTCATATCCCCTCAGAATAAGAGACACCTCTGAAAGCTTCCTCTTTGCTTGTTGCAACTGGATAGAGGTGTTTTCCTGCATTTAGGTGAAAAGCACCACTGTACTAGAAGATGGAGCAAAACCAATTTCCTGATCCTTTTGTCACTCAAACTGGTTCCAACAGGCTGGGGGTTCACTGACAGGTCATTAACTTGAGCCCTGAGGCAGAGAAGAGACTACCCAGTCCCAAGGCTTCTTTTCATTTTTCCAGTTGGATCCCTCAAATCTCTCAGATCTTAGTTTTTTTCTGTACATGTCTTGGGTGGCGCAGAGTTGGGGAACAGCTGGAGCAAACACCACGTGCAAGAGACACACAGATGGGTGTGCTTTTTCATCTGGTGCTGTCACCCCACTGCCCCATTTCTTCTGATGCCCATCTGTTTGTCACCCGCATCTTTCTAGATCCCAGAGCTTCCCTCTCTCAGGGAAGCTGCACAGTTTCATTCTGGGATACTGTTCACTCATGCTGATTTCCTCCTTCCCCTTTTTCACCACATTTCACTTCCTAGTCAGCATGTGTAGAAATTGTGGTTCATTTTTCGAGGGTTGGAGATCTTTTTGTGAGGGAAAACAGAATCTATTCAAAGTATGGCTGAAGGGAGGGGAGGCCAGTTCAGAAAGAATTCCATAAAAGGAGAGAGGACAAATAGCCTGTGTACTACCAGAGAGACAGTGTCACCTAGATTTAACCCTTAGAATTACTTTTTTTGGTGTTAGCAATTAATATGTTTATAACAACTCAAGAAATTGAGAAAGGTGTTATCTCCCTCTGCTCAACTTAAGATTTGTACTCGTACAAAGAAAAAAGTCACATATCTACTTTCATATTCCTAAGTGTTAATAGATCGAAAGGAAATTAATACTGCCAGAAACAATTAGAGGAATATTTTGTTTGCTGAAAAAAATGAGATTCTGATCAAGCAAAATTAGTAGTGCTGATTTCTCATGGTAGATTTGGCTAGTGAGAAAAGTAGGAAAAGAGGAAATGTTTTACTTCATTTTTACAAGGAAATTTTCTGATTTTTAATTCATTTACCTCAGAATTTAGCTAAAATTTAATTCCAAAGCAGGAGAGAGAAAACCTCTTAAATGTGAAATTTGCAGTAAAATGGGCATTTGTGTTTTTTCCTGCATCGAGGAGTTCACAGTACCAGTTGCTCACACAACTGCAGAACTCAGCCGAGCACCAGAATCCTGATGTAGCTCATTTAGGGCAGCTCTGACATCCCAGCACTGCACTGCACTGCACTTCTCCACTCAGAAGGTATAGCAGATTCCTGCACTGCACCTCCAGAAATTTTTCACAGGTATTTTAACTCTAAATTATTGCCATTTGAGTTCTGCCCATACAGGCAAAAAAAAAAAAAAAAGAGCTCCATCCAACTTACATATTTCTGCTCTGAAAAGTTCACCATCCATAATTTAGATGGAATGAAAGATGAGAATAATGAAAAATTACATAATTTTCATAATGATCATGAAATCATGACCTCTGTTGCATATAGAGCACATCCACTTTTTCTAATTACATTAAACTTTGTGAATTTCCTTCTTGTGGGTCCTATTGAAGTGAGGTTTTAATGATTTTTGGTTTAAAAAAAAGCAACTCCATGAGTGTAGCTTGGTCTGGAGCCTGGAAGAAGGTGCGGGAACATTGGTATGAGAAGATGAGACAGGATAAAAAGCAGTGGAACTGAGAACTGGAATTGCTCTGCAAGGCAGAGATGAGAAAGGGCAAGACAGTGATGAAGGCCCAGGGTGAGCTGGCTGACTTCTGTGCTTTAGTAGGAATCACTGTGTGTCCCCTTGGTGTGAGTGATACGTAGGGATCACGAGTGGTATCGATGTAGTATTTAGGCTACAGAGATGTTCAGTACATGCAGATTCATGTACAGAAGAGTAGGATTCAAGGCCAGGTTGAATGGAACTGAGCAACCTGGTCTGGTGAACGGCATCCCTGCCCATGGCAGAGGGTAGGAACAAGATTAAGGTCCCTTCCAACCAAGGCCGTTCTATGATTTTTCTTCAGAGACAAACACTGTATTTAATGGAAACCAGCAAAACTGCTTTTAAAAAATATTTTCCAGCCTCATAAAGAACAGCATTTTTCCCCACTGTCTTGCGGCTTTAGGATATGCCCGTGTGTGCCTGGACGTTGGGCACAGAGACACTACACACACTTGTCTGATCATAAACACAAAGGAACCTTTACTAAACAAAAAAAGAAAACCCCTCATAGAGTGCATTAGAGTGCTCAGACTTTGTAGTGCTGTTTCCTTCTACCCAGCCCTTGAGAACATAACCAAATTAGTACTCACTCGCACTGAAAATGAACAGCCCAAGTCTTCTCATTGCCATCCCCCTCATCTCTCCTTTGTTTCACCTCAAAGTGCTGTTTCTTGTAATCTCTAGGTTAGCTGAAGGGCTGCCTTGCAGTGACATCCCAAGTTCACTTCCTTGGTCTCTATTTTAAAGTGCTTCTTCCCCAATCTGCCACTCCTCTCCCGGCCAGAATGACAAGCCAGATAACCAGTAAGCTTTGACATTGCTTGCTGCTCCCTGCCTAGGGCAGAGAGGAGACTTGTGAACTCCTTCCCCAGCTGTGGTCTTTCCTCCACAATTAAACTGCCTTTCCCAGTTTCTCCTAACACACAGGTACACAGCAAGCAGAGGGAAAAACTGAAGGGTGTGGTGAGACTGGGAGTGGAGTGTACAGTGCAGCTGAAGTCATGCATGTGGTGACAAGTGACTAGGGAAGGGTCAGCCTCATTCATCTCAAATATTTATTAAGGGAGCCTAGGGATAGAGTTAAAAAGGTACTGAAGTGTTTCATAATTCAGGCAGCAGCCCACATCCGAGCTTTCAGAACTGAGGTGCCTAACTCTACTCACTCCAAATACCTGTAAGAATATGCAGTTTATGAGAATTTGATCACTAATAGGTTATCTAAATAAAAGTGAGATGCATCTCTTTTAAGCCTGCTGTTCATCTGCTCAGTGTGTGGCTTGCACAACAGCTGTAGGTACCAAAGGTGCTCCTCCCTTTCAGCTGAAAAGGGCAATCGGATAAACCATGGCTTGCAGGTGCTGGCTACGTGCCCAGGAGTGCCAACCCAGGCACTGCTCCCATGCTCTGGGTTGGCACTGGCAAGGCACAAATAACTGCTCCTGTAACTGACTGAAGAATACAAAGAAGACTGATGGCAGCTGGGGCAGACTTCTGACATTACATTTAACTGAGGGCAGCTGGACAGTGTATCTCTTAAAGTTTTCACTGCCACTAGGCAGCAAGGGATGCTTCCATCTGGGATAGCCATCTATGCTCCATTTCTAGCCATTTGAGGGACAAAGTTGCTTTTAGGGTGTGAGTGATCAGTTTAGGCATCTTAGATGGGGACTTCATGTCCATCATTTTCAGATTACAATGCAGTGATAATACTGATGAACTTTGCTTTGGTTTTTTGAAGGAGGCTACCTTGAAAGTGGTTGTCTACACTGGATATCTGTATTTAGTCCATTAAAGTAGATTTTTATCTTGCTCTCGTGCTGACCTCAAACTAGCATGGTAAACTCACCAAGATGCCCACTAAAGGCTGCCTTGGGGTCCATATGGCAGTTGTTCAAAATACCTCCAAGACAGTGAAACTTGCAAGTGACTGGAAGTCCCTCTGATAGAAAGCACAATCTGTACTTCTGTTCTTATATACAACCTCAGTTCTCCTCGGACTGTTAGCACATAAGAGTACAGAGACTTTATTCTTTGGGAATCTTCCAAATGAGGACAGACAGTAGAACAGTTCATGCTGGTGTATGTGTCTCCTCTTTGGTAGGCTTCAGGCATTAGGAGATGGCAAGGACCCTGCGAAGAAGGCAGAGATGTTTTCCAAAAGCAGCTTGCTAACCTCAAAATATTAACTACAAATTACTTAAGATGTAAACAAAACTGCAGCAAGGTCAGTAGTCTCCATTATCCGCTATGGAGCCCACAAGGATGAGACTCCTTATAAGGATGAGTTCCTTAAATGTTTACCTCCTCTAAACACTTTAAAATCTTTGTGACTTTATCCCACAGCCTTCAGGGAGATACATGTAGGAACTTTACTGCAGCTTCCACACTTTTGAATTTGCTCCCATTTAATACTTTAGGTGAATCAGAGATGCTGACAGAAATGGTATCACTGTACACCGTCTGCCCATACTTCCTGTGTTAGTTCTTTACAGAACAGCTTTGAGTGTTCACCATAGGAAGTTGGTTACAGTTTCTGACAGACTCCGTACTAACTTGGTCAGCTTGCTGTTACCTTCTTCACAGAAATAAGACTTTCACTATCATTTATACAACCTCTCTTTCTTCTCTTCCCCCCAATAATTTTGAAAGCCAGTTGACTGATTTCAGCTAAATTTGATGGACAGATAGTAATCTTAAAAATGGGAAGTTCCTTTCAGTCTCATAAAAATCAGCAATCCCAATCTGTTGGGACAGGAGAGAAATCTAAATTAATGGTACCTCGTAGGCATTAATAATTGTCTTCCATTCCAAGAATCTGGTTTCACAACCGATGCAACCATGGTCAGTCTTATTTTTTGTGCAGCCAAGATATAACTGTAGAGTGAGTAGTAACAGGGACAAGTTGCCTTTTCTCATGGCCATGTGGCAATGCTGGTGTGGAATCAGTTCCCTGGTGGGAACAGTTTTACCCTGCACTCCTTCGCATCACAAGTAAATAAGGTGGCACTGAGATGGACAACGTTCTGTTGTTTTGGAGACTTTGCTAAGACTGGCTTCCTGGGTGTTGTAGAGAGCATATGCTTCAACACCTGATACTTACATAAATTGATATTAAAATGCTTGTTTAGATGCATTGTATTTGTTACTTTTTTTAGTTATTTAAGCCTGGATTGGAAGAGGCACTTTTATGCTGTCACTTTTTCCTGACAGTTCTCATTGGGGGTCTCAGGTTAAATGCAAGAAGCAAATGTACAGTTTACCTGTGAGAAGTCAGTAGAGCTGCCCTGTGGTGTGGTGGGGTGACCCTGGCTGGATGCCAGGTGCCCACCCAAGCTGCTCTCACTCTCCTCCTCAGCTGGACAAGGGAGAGAAAATGTAATGAAAGCTCATGAGGTGAAATAAGGATGGGGAGAGGTCACTCACTGATTGCCATTATGGGCCAAATAGACTTCACTTTGGGAAATTAATTGAATTCACTACCTGAAAATCAGAGCAGGTTAATGAGAAGTGAAGCAAGTCTTAAAAACACCTCCCTCCTTCCCAGGCTCTACCTCCTCCCCCACGGTGGTGCAGGGAGATGGGAATGAGGGCTGTGGTCAGTTCATGTTTCTGCTGCTGCTTCCTCCTCAGGGAGAGGAGTCCTTTCCTTGCTCCAGTGTGGGGTGCCTCCCACAGGAGACAGTCCTCCATGAACTTCTGCAGCAGGAGTCCTTCTCACAGGCTACAGTTGTTCACACACTGTTCCAGCCTGGGTCTGTTCCATGAGGTGCAGTTTTTCTGGAACAGACTGCTCCAACGTGGGCAATTTTAAGAGATGTTAATTTTGTTTCTGGGTTGACTTTCTTTCCCTGTCTAGCGTGAGCTGCCAAAGCTCACAGGCACTGGCACCACAGCAAAAGAACTGCCACAGGTACCAGCAGCACTGCCAAAGCTTTGCCATGGCCCTACTTAGGCTGACACATATCAGCTGCTTCATCTCTCACCCATGGGCAATGCAGACCCTGGAAGTCTTATTTTTGCTGATGACTGCAGCTCTGGGGAATCTTTTTGCTGATATGTAGGATTTTTAGGGGCTATTATTAGGTTATTTAAATGAAACTGCCGTTGACATGAAAAGCTTAACACGAAATATCAGGGTGACTTCCTTGTGTTGCCAGAAATACACACTCTGATAAGGCTCACCTGTAAAAGCCAACCAGAATTAATGCATTGGTAGGGTAGTGCTAACACTATAAATTAAAGTAACTCCTGTTAGTTAAGAGAAAGAGGAACCTCCCATCAAGTTCCCCACCTTTCCCAGCCAAGAGGATAGCACCTGGCCTTGTTCAGTTTGGGTTCATTTATGAATGAATACATTAATCACCAGTGACAGATGCACGACCACTTACAGCTCGTTACTTTTCACTGTGTTTGCAAATGTAAATGTTCCTTAGCCAAGCTTCCCATCATCCTTGCCTTTGCTCTGCCTGGTCATCTTGATTCCAAAAAGCAAAAACCTGTATCCAGCAGTGGGGAGGAGCTGCCAAGCTGCTGCTCTGAGTATTCTCCATAAGTCTGCAACTTACAGGATCCTCTCAGTGTCTCGAAATCTGAATGGTTGCAGTAGGCATGGCAGGGTCTTCAGCTCTTGTCCCCATCCCTTTGCTGCTAAAGATTCACAAACAGGATTTTCAGAAGCAGCTCAGTGACTTAAAAGCATCTGTTTTTATTCGGTGTCAGTGGTAAATGTGCTCCCACAACAGTTAGGCCCTCTGTTCTCCAGTCGTAAGGCACTCCATAAGCATCTTTAGATCACTTCCTGCCTCAATTAGCAGTAATTAACAAGAACACGTATGTCCCTGCATTTCAGAAGTGGCTAAAAATTACATTGCCCGGAGGAGGCAGCTGCAGCATCAACACAATTCATCCTCTTTTTGTCCGTGAAACTGTTAGGATCTCTCCAAGCCTGTAATCAGTCATCCATTTCTCCCCTTGATATGACACCTGAGATTCAATATACCACTTCCTCTTGTTCCTACTTGCTCACCCCAGTAACTGTGTTAACACAATTCCAGGATGTGGGCACATAAAGACTTGAGTGCCCATTTCATGGCTCTTCCCTGATGTGACGTGACATCCCTACAGATGTGGGGATGCAGCACTCAAGCAAGAAGGAAGGGGGGAATGCCAAGCATGATGCAGTAGCAAAGGTATCTATGGTATGAGATGAGTGAGATTCCTTTTCCACTTCCTTTCTTTGCTTTCTTGTTGGCTTGTTTGTTTGCAGAGGGAGTCAACAGTGGGATGTCATCACATGACTCAGAACTGGAGCCCCCAGTACAGGCAAACAGCACTTGGCCTTTCACCTGGTTCTGCTCCAGACCAGCCTGGCCTGTGAGCTTTGCTGGGGAGTCAAGAGATGGGAACCAGAGGTTTCCTTTTTGAAAAGGCATTGGAGAAGACACAATGTAGCTCATTCCTAGCTCTTCCAAGAAGAAAAATCAGCTGATCATACAGCCACAGAATTGTTTGAGTCAGAAGGGACCTTTCAGGATCATCTAGTCCAACCACCCTGCCATAAACAGATTGCTCAGAACCCCATCCAACCAACCTGGCCTTGGACACTTCAGTGATGGGGCATCTACAGCTTCTCCGGGCAACCTGTTCCAGTACCTCACCACTCTCATAGTAAAGAATTTCCTCCTTTTATTTAATCTAAATCTACCCACTTAGTTTAAAATCTTTGTCCTTTGTCCTGTTACTACAGGCCCTGGTAAAAAGTCTCTCTCCTTTTTTTTAAGATCCCCTTTAAGTACTGAAAGGCTGCAATAAGGTCTCTCTAGAACCATCTCTTCTCCAGGATGAACAGACACAACTCTCTCAGCTTTTCTTCATAAGAGAAGTGTTCCAGCCTTCTGATCATTTTTGTGGCCCTCCTTTGGACTTGCTCCAAGAAGGCCATGTCTTGTGCTGGGGGCTCCAGAGCTGAATGCTGTACTCCAGGTGGGGTCTCACAGGAGCAGAGTAGAGTGGGAGAGTCACCTCCCTTGACCTGCTGGTCACACTTCAGATGCAGCCGAGGATATGGTTGGATTTCTGAGCTGTACATGCACATTGCTGGGTCACATCCAGTTTTTCATCCACCAGTACTCCCAAGTCCCTCCTTTCCAGGATGCTCTGAACCCGTTCATCCCCGACCTGTACTGATATTGAGGATTGCCCCAACCCCATTTGTAGGATTTTGCACTTGACCTTGTTGAATTTCACGAGGTTCACATGGGCCCACTCTTTCTGTGTGGCATCCCTAACCCTCCTGAATCAAGTGCACCCTCAGCCTGGTGGCAATTGCAAAATTTCGGGGGGGGCTCAGTTTCACTGTCTGTGTCATTATGAAAGATATTGAACAGGTCCCAGTAAGGATCCCCAAGGGGCACCACTTGTTGACAGTCCCCATTTGGATGCCAAGCCATTGCCTGTGACTGAATCCCATCCAGCCACTTCCTTATCCATCGAACAGTCCAGCCATCAAATCAATCTCTCTCCAAATTAGAGGTAAGAATGTTGTGTGGGACCATGTCAAAGTCATTACAGAAGTCCAGGTAGTTGACAGGTAGCTTGCTTCTGGTGAAGTTCAAATGGCTCATCCTGCACTGCTATTCCTAAGGACATCAGAGGTCATACCAGCATTTCAGTTTGTGCCTGGCAGGATCCCACTTGCCTGGGGGCTCCCTGCAGGCAGAGGTCCAGCCTCACTGGGAAACTGGCTGTTTCCTGCCACTGGGAAATGTCAGAGGGCCAGCCCACAGCAGAGAAGGAGTTAAGTGCTTGACCAGCTGCTGTCTGTGAGGCACTGAATTCCTTCCCCGTGCAATGCAGCAGCCAGTGTCAGGACAGCTATATTTAGAGAGCTGATAAAGGTTTGGTGCCAACAGTTGTCCTGCCCCTCGATGAAGAAGCTGCAGAGAAAGCGAGAGGGGGCAGCTGATTGCTTTCTTCCCAGTTCCATTCTCTACTGACTTCAGTGGACTCTTGCCGTGCCTCCAGCAGGGACCCTCAGTGGAGCTGTCCAGGCGCAGGGGGTAAGTTCCCTTTCCTTGCTCACCTGCCCTGTGGGTGGTAGCCGCTCCTCAGCCCCACTGGTGACACATGGCTGTGATCCTCCTTCCTGAGGCTGGTGCTGGGGCCCTGTGGAGCTGCCTCACTTGTGGCACACTGAGGTGGGAGTGTGTTGAGGACATGGGGAAGTGTTTACTGTGGTGTTTTCATACTCCTGCCTGAACTACATCCCCCTCGCTCTCCCGCACCCAGGGCGAGCTCGGCAGCCTCCACACAAAGGAGCGCAAGGACAAAGTCCCGAGCCTTAAAGCACTTCAGCCTTAAGCTTGAGGAGCGTTTCATTCTGGGGAGGTCTCATGTTTCTTTGCCCCTGACACTCCTTCTAGCCCGGCTCTGGCTCTGTACAGCTCCTTCCAGCCACCATGTGCGGTCAGGGGAGGATAGAGTTTCTGCCCCTCCACCCCTTCCTTCCTGGCCTTCCTGCACCCTTACTCACAGGCAAGAAGGGCACTGGTGCTCGCTGGGCAGCAGCCAGGGAGCTGCGTGAGGCCCTGGAAATGGCAGGCACCCCGATGGAGGAGCCAGTGTAGCTGCCTTGTGACCAGGGCTCCTCACAGGAGCAAAATGTGGGAGCCCCTTCTGCTGTACCCCCCATCCCTGCTGCCCGCCCCACCGTAATGGTTCTCCCTCCTGCCCTGCTCCCCGTGCAGAGGATCCTCTGGCAGCCGCCATGGCCAGCGGCAGGGACTCGGACAGCGAGCCAGCGGTGCCGGAGGAGGAGGAGGACGAGGGCCCGGACGTGAAGGCCGTGCAGGCCCATTACCTGCGCAGCCCCTCGCCCAGCCGGTGAGTGCAGGACCACTGCCGTGGCCTCCCGGGAGCACGTGGGAGACAGGACTCCTCTGCTAGTTAATCCATCCCACTGAGAGAGTACGTGCACACGAGGGGAGGACAAATTGCATTACTATGGGGTGGTATCATCCCTCTTCCCCGTCTCACCCTCTTATATCCATCTCCATGATGAAACTTCTGATCCAATTTCAACTCTTCCCAAATCCAGCCCCATCTTTCTGTCCGTTATAAGGACTTGTGGATTTTTTAATGTCAATATTAGTCTTTCACAGCAGTACAAAGACCAAGGGTCTTCAGATTTAGATTTGGTTCAGAGCCAACTTTAGCTACAGGCTTCAGGCACTAAACAGGAGGCTGTCACAGCACAAGCAGAAATTGAGTTACCCCAAGCAAAACAAGCATGATTAGATGTATTTTCTCCTAATACAAGGAAAAATACATATCTTTGAACTCTTCTTAAAGCAGAATGCTCTGCAGGGCTTTCTGTACCCTTTGAGATGCTTTAGCTGAAAGCAAGGAGTAGGGATTGAGTTTGAAAAGAACCTGCCTCAGTGGCCCTGAACAGGTAGGAGATTGTGCAGTGTTTCCTGTTAACTGTGGGACACCGCAGAAAAATTAAGACAGAGTGCCTATTGCATTTAACTACATGCGTTTCAGAATTGAGGAAGATCACTGAGCTCACATAAAGTAAAATTATGTATTCAACTTGGTAAATCTTTATCTACTCATCAGTCACTCAAAATGAACAGAAGCACCTCTCCAGTGTATTTCCCTTGCCTTGCCTGGTTTTTTTCCCGTTTTTTTCTCTCTGTCAATGATAAAAGCAGTGCAGTGATGAAATTGATAAGATCCCATCTAGAACAGGGTCCTGGAAGCCTCCAGGACTGGGCCATGCTGCACCTGTGTGTTTCACGGATGCTCAGGGTGGTAAAATGCGTTGAGGCTGTGGTGGCAGATTATTACCATCTGTTATCTTTTTACTGAGCTTGGAGGCAACCTTTACAGCAAAAGGAATTGAAGGCAGGGCATAGCTCCAAATTTGTGTCAGCTCCTGTAAATGAGACTGAGACTCCCCTTGCTCATCTCATAAACTCCTTTGAAGAACTAGAAAAGGATTACTTTCAGTCACGGTTCACAAGTGCTGGAACTCAACTAAATGACCTAGATGAGCCTGTTAAGTGGTTTCCAATGGCTGTGCCCTCTGTTTTGGTTCTGGAGCATGAAAGCAGTTCAGCTCTGCAGACACTGCTGCACCCTGACTGCATGTTAATCACCCTTCCTCTCCTGCCTTAATTAAACAAAAACTGTTGCAAGTACTGCAAGTCTGCATGGCTGGGGAGCTTCTGTGGTGGCAGCAAACTTGTCCTAATGACCTGTACCATCTATTTGGAAGGAAGTGTAGATGGTATAGATCAGGGAAAAAGCTCTGTAAAATATTTTGTTAAGATAGTCTAAACAAGAGAAGATGTGCTTGGATTGTGCAGGTGGACCCAGATGGAAAGATAAGTGTTTTCAAGATTGTGGCCCCTTTTTTGCTTAACAAACACTTACATGAATCACATTGTGTGTCAAAGAACTCCCTTGAAAGGTGCTTGTGAGTGTCAGAGTGGTTTCTGACCTGCAGCTGGACAACACTGAGATTGGTTCAGCTGGTTAGAGTATGGTGCTAATAACATCAAAATTTGATCCCTGGACAGGTCATGTACTTAACAGTGGGACTCCATTATCCTTGTGGGTCCCTTCCAACTCAGAATATTCTGTGAAATCTGTGAAATACTGTGTGTGTGGAGAGACTGACCACAGATTCATGCTATGAAGTGACCAATGCACTGAGAGAGAGTCACGGGCTTCAATTTCAGTGCTTGCATTGCAGCTTATGGTAACTCAGAGGATGCCTGTGGGCAATCAGCCAGCAGAGAGAAAACACCTTGGTGTGATCTGTTTTGAATTGTTCGATAAATTCTAGTTAGGACAATGTTTTTATCTGTCTGTCTAAGTGAGAGCTACTTGTGAGAGTAATCCTTGTGATCCGTGCCCCTCCCAATCTCAAACAAAACACTGATCTTCTCTACCCAAAAAACTTCTCCACCAGGCAATTGTTTTGCACTCCCAGTCCACTGAAGCTCCTTCCTAAGGGACCTGTCTACATCCTGCAAACACTGGATATGAAGGGCATATTTAAAGCCCATAGTGCCATGCTGGAGAGCAGTGTGGGAATGGGGGTGGGAGAAGAGCTGGGGCTTCCCTTCTGCAGTCAAAGGATCCTCACTGCTCCAGTTCCCTGATGCTCCCCTCTGGAATGGGTGCAAAGGGCTAAAGTTCTGGGGGTGGGATCCCAGTGGAGGGCATTGCCTAATAGGCAGTGTGGTTGGTTGGCAGGTATTCCATGATATCAGACACTGATACAGAGAGCATCTTCATGGAGCCAATCCATCTGTCATCTGCTGTGGCTGCCAAACAAATAATCAATGAAGGTAAGAGGAGAAAGCGTAAGAGAACTGTGTAATAGAGACCTGTTTTGCCTTTGTCATCCAGAGATCCTAAAATGATAAAAAAGCCTTTATGAGAGAATTCCACCTGAGGTAGAGGTGAAAATCACAAAGAAATATCAACTTACAGAAAGGTTTGATGACTTCCTTTGAAGATATGCAATGAATCTGTGGCAGAACGATATACCACGGTGGTGAATGTAGTTTGAGTGCTGGTTGATCACTGCAATAAACTGAATTTAGAATAGAATAGAATAGAATAGAATAGAATAGAATAGAATAGAATAGAATAGAATAGAATAGAATAGAATAGAATAGGAGTATTTCAGTTGTAAGGGACAAACAATGATCATCTAAGTTCAGCTATCTAACCATAAGTTAAAGCATATTATTAAGGGCATTGTTCTGCTCCTCTGGAACACTGGCAAGGCTGGGGCATCAACCACCTCTCTAGAAAGCCTGTTGCAGTGTTTGACCTCCCTCTTGGTGAAGACATGCATCCCAATGTCCGGTCTTAACTGCCCTAGTGCAGCTTTGAACCATTCCCACCTGTCTGATCACTTGATACCAGGAAGAAGAGCTCAGCAGCTCCCTCTCTATTTCCCATCTTCAGGGAGGTGTAGAAAGCAGCTGCATTTTTCTGGGGGTGAGTTAAGGGTGCCCTTAACTCCCAGGCCTTTGGCCAGTGTGGGTCTCTGGACTGAAAGGGCAGTGCAGTGTGCTCTTCCCATAAGCATGTTCTGCACACACTGCAGACAGAACAGTGTGATGTTTCTGGGGGAAAAAAAACAAGTCAGAAAGTCTGTCCCAGACACAAGTAATGACAGGTCATACATTTGCATTGTTTTTACATGCTTTGAGTTACAATGTCAAGTTTATTCCAGAACTGAAGACAAAGGAGGTCAGGGTAGATTCAGTGTGTCCCAGGATGCTGGAGTCTGCGCAGCAGCTGATGGTGGAAGACCTGTACAACCGAGTTAAGGAAAAGATTGATGACACCAGCTTGTTTAACACACCGTGTGTGATGGACTTGCAGAGGGCACTCATGAAGGACAGGCTGGAGACCCCCAGGGATGCTGTGGATGAAGTCTGGCCTAATGTCTTCATAGCAGAAAAGTGAGTGTCGGCTTTTGCCATCAAGTTGCGTGAGATTCCCAGTGAAGGGTCAAATGGAACCATCGAAGGCATAACATGTATTACATGTATCTAATACCTTTCATCCCTAGAGAGCCCCTAAGTGTTTTTCAGACTGTGCTCGTGGAAATCTCTATGCACTGAAAAGTAAATACTTCTGGAATAGAATCAGCAGCTTTCCTATGCTATTTTGATGCTTCAACAGTTTAGGAGGGGAAAAGGCAAATGAGCCCAAATTCCACTGTTCTGATTGGAATTTGGCCCTGAAATTGGAACTGAAGCCTTTATTATGTCAAAGAGAGTTAAAAAAGAAATGCCATAGCAAATGTCAAGTGGAGATGGTTAGGTCTTCTGTACCGTGGTTCAGCTGTCTGACACACCTGTGTAAGTGGCCAGATAGAATTAGAAGTGTATATAATGTAAAGCATCAGTTATGGAGTGATAAAAGTTGATAAATAAGTACACAGCCTGAACCCAGGATGGCAGCATGAGTTTCAAATCAAGCTGGAGCAGAAACGGAGCATGTGGCTCTGCAGGTGAATGCAGTTTTCTCATTTTCTTTTTCCAGTGAGTATTGGAAAGAAATACCCGTAGGACTCTCACAGGACATTAAGGTCTGAGTGGAGACACATGTTGGATGAGTAACACAGACAGGGAGTTCTGTAGACCTTGTAGCAGGCAGCTCCCCTCCTACCCACCCCGCAGCACTGATACCTCACATCTCTTCTTTTTTCCTGAAGAAGCGTTGCGGTGAACAAAAGCCGTTTGAAGAGGCTGGGCATCACACACGTCTTGAACGCAGCTCACGGTACAGGTGTCTACACAGGACCAAGTTTCTACAACGGTCTCAATATCCAGTACCTGGGCATTGAGGTGGATGATTTCCCAGATATGGATATCTCCAAACACTTCCGCCCGGCTGCAGAGTTCCTTGACGAAGCACTGCTGACTTACAGGGGTAAGGGTAGAAGATTACAGTGGTTCCAGAATGCTTGGGAATCGCAGGTGGAAGTGTTACTCTGATAAACAGCCGATGCCACGTTTGCAGTGGGGTAGAAAGAAGGCAGAGCCTTCATTCTCTGCATGCAGCAACAGTGACCACCTTTCTGCCGTGCCTCATTCAAAACGGGAGGGAGCAAACTAGTAAGGGGAGGGAGCCCAACAGCCCCTGCTGCAAACCCCATGTCTTCAAAGGGGCTGCAAGTCACCTCCCTCAGCTGCTTTGGAAGAACCCTACTATAGCAAGGAGCAGAAACCCTGCTGTGATACATATTTGTTTAATATTGATGTAATATTCTTTATATATAGTTATATTTCTGTACACTGCAAGTTTCAGTTTTGCCGTGATGCAAAAACCAAGCTGATTTACTAGAACAATCCAGGCAGCTGAGCTGAACCTCTGGGTGTCTAATTTGCTGGACTCCCATTCCATGGCAACTGTTATTCTGTGGGCCTCCAGTACACATTGGTCATTCTGTTGCAGCTTCAATGGACAGTTAGAAATACCTTTATGCAGTTCAATATGGAAATGAACACCATGATCAGTGATATTACTGATATTATTTATATATTTAGTCAATTAATTTAACTATTGTAGAGAGACAAGAGATTACCTCCTAGCAGAAGTGACAGTAAGACAAGTTTTGTTAGTACACAAGGAAAGTTGAGACAGTTCTAACAGCTCAACACCACGAGGTGGGACACTACCTATCTGTGTTCTTCCTCATCACTCCCATTACTACCCTTGGCATAGTCCAGGTGCTTCCTGCTGCTGGCATTCATCGACCCTTCAACTCACACAGCAAAAATGACAGCCCAGCAGGGGGTTTTCCCCTGGGCTGGTGATCTGAACTGGCTCGTTAAAGGACCAGTAGCAGAGTAGCAGAGCTGACACAGGAAAGGGTGCACCCAGGCAGAGGAGTCTTGAAAGGAAAGAGAGGAAGGAGATCTCCCCCTATTGGTGAGCTGTTAGATTGGCTTCACTGGCTGGTAAAATACTTGGAAGGCAACCAAGACTTCTGGTGCTAAGAAAGGTGTAAAAGACATTTCAGAATTGTAGGAAGAGGTTCATTAGGTAAACACTTGGGGTAACATAGCAGCAGTCAGAAAGGTGGTGTTTAAACTGGCTCCATTAAGTTTCAGTGCAAACAATTTGATTAAAATGGAGTTTTTCACACATTTAGAAACAGTAATGTCAGTTATTTATAAGTTAGCAAAGCCTCATTTACACTCTTCATATTTCCAAGCTTTTCTTTAGCTCAATTTTTTTATAAAAGTAACTTTAAAATTTTTCAATGTCAAAGTGTGGTTTGCTGCAAGAGGTAGTAAATGCCATGAAATAAAGCAGATCCTCAGTTTTGATTCTTGCTCTTACAGTCACTGTTACAGGACAGTGGGTCCCAGTAATTCGAAGCAGCTGTTTCAGTTTGTCAGAGTCAAAACCAGCTCTTTCCTGTCAATTGCTTGGTTCTCCTCTTCTAAGATATACTATGACTTTGGCTTCCTACACGTAACCATTTGAGGGTACCTTGAAAAACTGATCTGGATTCTGGCAAAAAACCAATCAAATTACTATAAAATTGTATTTAAGCCCCATAATGTGCCTTATGAAAAAACAAGTTATTTGCTTATCTTCCCAATACCTTCCTGGAGGCTAATGCTAATATCTCCCTTTTTACATATTGAGAAACAAGCATGGAAGGCTTTAATGTCTGACCCTATGTCAGGCAGCAAGTCAAGAATACTGTACTGTTTGTCTTTCTAATACCTGTTACAAGTTCTAGTACATGTTACAAGTTTTGACTATTTGAGTAAGTGAAGTGTGGGGGCAAAAATACAAATATTATTTAGCTTGTTTTGAGATGTGCCTGCCCACAGCTTTTGAAACCAATGTGCTTTTTATTCACATTTTATTAAGGTAAAGCTATCAAAAATTTAGTATTGGTTTCAGTCACTAAAACATATAATCTGTCTAATTTTTAACACCGTTCAGAGAATGCCTTTGTGCTACATATCAGAGCATATGCATGACAAACCTGTGATTGGAAATAGCTAATCACTTTCCTGTCCAACATCTGTAGGCAGAGTCCTGGTCAGCAGTGAAATGGGCATCAGTCGCTCCGCTGTGCTGGTGGCTGCCTACCTGATGATCTACCACCACATGACTGTTTTGGAGGCTCTGATGACTCTGAGGAAGAAACGAGCCATTTACCCCAACGATGGCTTTCTGAAACAGCTACGGGAGCTCAACGAGCAGCTGCTGGAAGAACGGGAGCTGGAGCATTCTGGAGACGAAGAAGTGACTCCTAGTCAAAGTCCCGTTGCCCGTGCAGGGACTTCTTCCCGTTTGTCTGGAGCTGGGGAAGCAGAAAGCGTCGTGGGAGCCCAAGCCCACTCCATCATAGTAGAAGAGGAGGACACGAGCAGCATGCTGGGTAGTTTTATGAGCTCTTCATCAGTATCAAAAACCAGCTGGGTTTCCAAACACTCCACCCTGATCAGTGAGGAGGAAGAGGAACAGTTGTATGAGGAATGGAGGAAGAAACAAGGCCTATCTGCAAAGGAATCGGGAGTTAACCATGAAAGAAGAGCATCTCCAAAGCATCTGGATCAGGAAGAGGAACAATCTGATGAGGATGTGGAACAGAGGATCCATGACTGGCAGCGCAGAAATGAGAAGTATCAAATGGAGGGTGCAGCCAGGGAGGAGGATGGTGATTCCAGCCTGGGAGGAAGACCTTACCCACCAGGTGAATTCAGTGATGTTGAGAGTGTGAGCAGTTTTGAGATTCGAACCCTGAAAAAGCAGCTGGAAGCCAGCAGCTTTAGCAAGATGAGGAGGAGTCGCACAGGTTCTGTGTCTTCTGAGAGCACCTGGGACATGTGGAATCAGAGGCTCCTGGAGATAGAGAAAGAAGCTGCTCAGAGGTACCATTCTAAGAATAAAAACTGTGGGGAAATGGGAAGAAAGGAGAGGGATGTGGATGAGGAGAGCGTGCTTTCAGACAGTAGCTCCTTCTACAATTTCTGCCAAAAGAACAAAGACAAGTTGACTCCTCTAGAAAGGTGGAAGGTCAAGAGGATCCAGTTTGGCTTTCACAAGAAGGATTTAGAACCATCATCATCAGCTGCACCATCTCCAGCAGAAGATGGCAACCAGGCAGGTGGGGAGGGAGCAGAAGGGAAGAGTTTGTCGGATATTGACCTGACTGCCTACCAGGCTTGGAAAATGAAGCGCCAGAAGAAGGTGGGCAGTGAAATCAGCAAGGAGGAGTTTGTGGAATTTGCCAAAACTGAGGATTCTGCTTCAGCTAAAAAGAAGCAGAGGCGTGTAGAGCTCCTTGAACGTTCAAAGAAAATTTTGGAGGAAAGCCAGTCCATGTGCAGCTGGGAGACAGACAGCACAGTGAGTGGGAGTATCCCCCTGTCAGCTTTCTGGCCCTCGGCGCCTTCTGCAGATGGTGCCAATGATGCAGCTTCTGCCCTGAGCATGCAGACAAATCATTCGTCTTTATCACGGACCAGGAGCAGCACAGGAGCAATGCAGCCTCAGATGCCAAGTGTACCCCTTCCCAATCTCCCAGTTGGTCCAGGTGACACCATATCCATGGCAAGCATTCAGAACTGGATCGCTAACGTGGTCAGTGAAACCATTGCTCAGAAGCAAAATGAGATCATGATGCTGTCCCGTCCGTCGTCTGCGATGGCCTTCCTGTCAGGAGACCCGGGCAGGCGAGGAGATGATGATAAGGTTTCTCTGCTCAGTGCTCAGAGCGGCTCATCTCTGGTTGCCTCTCAGCTGCACCAGCAGGAGCTGCGCCGAGCTGAGTCTCAGTCTGTCCTGTCCTGCAATACCTCCGTGAGTGAAAGGACAGAAGAGACTGCTTCAAACATGAAGACAACACAGACAAGCAAGCCACTCTACAGCCTCTTTGCTGATGATGTTGACCTCAAGAAACTCAGGAGGAAGGAGAAGGAGATGCAAATGGAAATGAGAGAAAAAATGTCAGATTATCAAATTGAAAAAGTGATCAGAGACAATAAACGCAGCACTTTATTTAAGAAAAAGGTGACGAAAGGAGAGGAAAATGAAAGAGAAGATGACAGAGAGAGTACAAGAAACAGCCATGGCCGCACCTTGCAAGCAGATTTTGACAGAACTGATACAGTCTTCGATCTGTCCAGTCAACCTGCAAACTCAGGTGCACAAGAGTCAGAAACAGAGACTGATATTACCAAGTGGCTCAATGGTCTGAAAGCAGAGAGAGAACCACCACCTTACTATGAACAAACTGAGAAAGCTAGAGAGAAATATAGCAGATCATCCAAAGTTAGACAGGTGGATTCTGAGACATCCAGTTACAGATTCTCCAGATCCCAAAGAGAAGAGCTAGACAGCTGTTCTTCCTACGAGTCAAAAGGAGATTCACTGAGAACCACATCAAGATTTTCCTCTGCTTCTGCAAAAGAGGACAAAAAGATGTATAAGTTCACAAGGTCGAGGGTCAGTGAGACAAGTTCCAGAGAAAACAGCCCAGAGCTGCATGTTTTCAGCCCATCACCTAAGCCGCCATTTGACTCTGAATCCCCTGAACCATCTACACAGAGCCGAGTCAGATCCCATCATGTGGAGGCATGTGAAGAGGAGTCCAGGTCAGACGTGTCAGAATTTGGAGCAAAGAGAAAGTTCACCCAGAGCTTTTCAAAGTCTGAAGAGGACGGAAAGAAGGAGGCAAAAGTGGAGCAAAGTGAAGAAAGGTTTGCATCTAGACAGTACTCTCAGTACAGGCGAAGCACACGTAAAGAGGAGGAAGAAGAGATGGATGATGATGCCATTATTGCTGCATGGAGAAGCCGACTAGAAGAAACTACAGCAAAGCTCCAGCGGAGAAGGGAAGAGTGACCAAGATCAGACTACAGGAACACAAGCAGAGCCAGAGTCCCTGAATCACTCACTCATCATTATATTTTTGATAATCCTTTGTGGTTTGTAGGGCATTTCCTGCAGGTAGTTCTCTTCTTAATCAAAAGCGATAAAGGGATGAGGTCAAGTTCTGCAAGTGTTTGTGGCTTGTCAGAAAGAAGATGCTAGAATTAAATGATCAATGTAGGGAGGAACACAGTGTTAGAAGCCATTAGGAACCAGACAATGTTTCAGCAGTAAAAGCAAGTAACGGTGGCACCTCAAGTCAAAAGACCAATCACATCCCATTTTGGTTATTTCAATTTCCTAGTGTTAAAAACTGGACATATTTTTTTCTAGGATCTTTTTGATCATAAGTGGAAGAAGCCAACAGCCTTTTCTAGGAACTTGAAGAATGTTTGTCTCTTAATCAGTTTTACTTTATACCACTGAGAAGATATTACCAAGTAGGCTCCATTTTCTTCACCAGCCTTACGAATGTCTACAGAAATAAGACAGTTTGGGGAAATACATGTTCTATTTTACTATGCTAAGTAGCAGAAGCAAAGTAAAATACTAGGAAAAAGAAGATGCCTCCTTTTTTAGAAGTTTAATGCAGTAATGAATGTATTCCTGTGGTATCATTTTTTCTGTTTTCTATTAGATGGAATCATCTCTGTTCCATTATGGTTGGTTCCCGCTAATAACTTTGGGTCAACAAAGAACAAATGCAGTAATATTAACAGCCATCTAAAAATCATGTTTTGACATAGTAAAAGAGATGAGGTTAGGACTAGGATTAGTGTTAGGTTAGGCTGGGTTTCTCAGTATTGATTTCACTTTGGTTTATGTATGCAGTTCAGCTAAGTCCGTGCTTTTGTGTTCATAGTCAGATTGTCATGTATTAATTTTCAACATGATTGCCTTAAAACAGAAGAGTGGTACACAAACTGACCTCGTAATAAAATTGTGTATAACTGGAGCGTGGGTATAAGGCACGTTGCACCAAGTGTGTGTCTGTGAGGGTGGCAGCTGGAGGCTCAATTTAAGAGATGGTAGGTTTGGTTGACATGTTCAGTTAACGTGTCTCCTGAGCCACAGGGTGTGCTTTTCAGAGGGAGAGAAGGAAGCACAGTCTCCATCTTAACTGAGTGCACCAGGTTAGGACCTCAGGTCCTTCCATGCCCTGCAGAGCCTGGTGAGCTTGTGTGATCCACCAGACCTGCCACAACATCCCCTGTGTGGCTTGTGTGACAACGTATTTTCGACGCACCAAAGCACCCAACTCTCTGTCACCAGTCAACATCCTCCACCTCTCTCTTGTAAACACATCGGCCAGTTTCTACTGACTTTGACTCTGGAATTATCTGTTCCCTCCTCTGTACAGACTGTATTTTGAAACAACAAAGCCCTCTGGCAGAGCTGAATATAAAACAACAATGGAGGGATGATGCAGTAGTGCTCTCTCACAGGAAGTTTTTCTTTTTCTTGTAATCTCCTCTCCCTCCCACTGTGATGCTTAGAGCTCACTATTACTATTATGCTAGTCCCTCTCCCTATTTTAATTGTGTAATACAGACAGCAAGCTCCACAGGGCAAGGGCCTGCTCTTTGTCCCTGTCTGTGTGATGCTACGCACATCAGCAAAGCTATCTAAATAATGGTTACTGATAACAAAATGCAGCTGGCAATTTTCCTAAACTTAGAATCATCTCTCTCAAATATAACTCACTGATTAGACATTATCCCTGCTTCTCTGAAGATAAAGATGATTCTTTCTGACAGCCAGGACTGGGGTAAATGATAGCTACTTATTGTCAGGTAAATGGAGCCTCAAAATCAGGTGATTGAACAGTAACAGTTGTAGAAAAATAAGAGAAAGAACATATTTTAGTTGTGTGGATTGCATTTTTGGTCCTTTTTTTTTTTTTTTTTAGTAAACTCAGATTACATTTTGAAGTGCATAAGAGGCATGGTCTTGTTAATGTTTCAGGCGTGCAGAGATGCTCTGAGGTTTATAATGCGCTTCTACTACAATATAATATATAATACAATGCATCCCTTGTTTCTGCAGACCTCTGTGAGTTGTTATTTTTTAAAGTAGTGGAATTCCTGGCCTTGATCCACATTCTGAGATTTTATATTAAATTTCTGCAATTTGTATTAAGACAGGCATTTTCCTCTTCATCCCTGGTAAAGTTGCTCTGTGGAAAACAGCTCTGCATAGACATATTTGGAGCTTGCTTTCATTTCAGTCTAGAAAAGGTCTTAAATTTCGATGGATCAAAGTGGAAGTGTGCAATACCTTCTGGCACTGAATTTACTTTTTTATCAAAGGCTGATTCCCTCTGAAAAATCCCTCTCCCTCTCCCTGTGCCTGGCTGTTCCCAGCAGACAAGCCTGTCCTCTGCAGGACTGTAGGGGGCATCTCGCACTGTAAAAGACGAGTAGTAGATGATATAGTAATTGGTTTCATTTTGCACTGTACAGCACGGCCTTTGTTTGGGCAGCATTTTGATTTAAACACTAATCTAGGTCTGCTGCACAAATAAATTATTCAAGACCGAGGGGCAGAATACTGTTCTATAACAAGTCTGAGCCAAACTGTCCTGATAGCGAGTTTTGACCCTTGTGAGAAAGGGTTAAGTGGGTTCTGCTGACTCATTGAGGTAGGTGGCTTATTAGTTCACTTGTGTAAAAGGGAGATAAAAATGGTTTGCTGGGGAGAGGCCATCTAAGATGCTGGCTGAGCAGTCATGAGGGAGAAGCCTTAGAAATAGCTGAACTTTATTTTCTTATTGCTTATATCCTTGTTAATAAAGCCAAACCCCCAAAGCAATAAGGGGGTGGGGATCATTTTGGACTCCATGCAGTATATGGCCAGTGCTTGAAAGCAAGATGGGAAAGGCTTCAGCTCACAGGTATAAATTACATGAAACAGTGACATAAAGACCTTGCATGGTGAAAATATTAAAGCATTCAGTCATAAGACCAATAACCAGGAGAGACAGAAATGGAGAGGTTGAAGGCAGGCTAGAAAGTCAGGTTTTAAGATGAGAATTTAGAAGGAGATAAGGAATTGCAGAAAGGGGAGAGGTCTGCACAGATTGTTTCAGGTGACCGGAGCTGCAGAGTGAATGGTTTTTCAGCAATGACACCAGTCTGACACTGGATTAAAAGAGTAAATAAGCACCCAAATTTATCTAGGAGGGATTTTTCAGCAAAGATGCACTGGGACTGATATTTTTGCTCAGACTCAATTTGCTGCTATAGGAAGGAAGGTGTTTTTTAGCATTGTATAGTGGAAGGTGAAAGTGCAAAGAGCATCCATACGGTCAGTTAAGAATATAAACACAGGAACATCAGAAAGGTTGTATGGGGTCAGACCAGAGGTCCACCTGGCTCAATATCCTGTCTCTGACAGAGAACAACAGCGAATACCTAGAGAAGAATATAAGAGCAGTGATATAAGTGATATTTCCTCAGCACGATCTTCTAGCTTCCAATAATTTGCAACTCAAGGACTTCCTGAGCCAGGTGTGATATTCTTGTTTTTAATAGCCCTTAATAGGTTTTCCTTGTATGGAGGTGCCTAGTAATTTTTGAGTTATAGCCATAATAGCCTTGTACCCACTGTCCTCTATAATCTCCTGTGGCAAGAAGTCCCACAAGTTACTCTACAATATAGTATCTGTGTATAGATATATATGCTCTACAGTATAGTATCTCATGTGCCATGAGACTTCACCTCCCTCTGTCATTATATCCCATCCTTAGCTCTCTGGTTTTCAGCCAGAGTTACTCATTCCTCATGTAGGGGCTGCTCCATGTCTCTAATTATCCTGGCCATTTCTTCTTTGTCGTGCTTGAGATGAGGGACCAAATCGTCACGCAGTATCCAGGGTGCAGGTGTGGGAGGGATTTATCCTAGGGCATAATGACTGTCTTTTTTCTGTTCTCTGTTCCTTTCCTATTAACTTCTAACGGTTTGCACATTTCTTGGGCAGTTGCTGAGCACCAGAGTGATGTTTTCATAGAACTATTTATTATATACACAAAATCTTGTGTATATAATAAATATGGCAATGGTCAGCTCTGAGATCATAATTTTTTATGTTAGGTTTTCTTGCATGTAATGCCTTACATTTATGAGCCCTGAATTTCATCTGCCATCTTAGTGCTCAGTCTCATTAAGTGCTTCTGCGTTTTCCCACAGCCGTCCTCTTATTTCCACGACTCTGTTTCCTTAATGTCCTTTGAAAGGTGTAGAAATTCAGAGTATGTGGGAAAGTAAAGAAGTTAAGGAGGGATAGATGAGAGAGAAACCCATTTGATGCTGGTCTGCTTGAAGCAAGAAGTAAGAAAGCAAGAAATAAGAAAGCTGGAAAGCACGGAGGTAAATGTTCAAAAAGAGATCTGAAGACAACAGGCAAATTAAGAAGGGGACCTACACTGGACAGAGTCAGGGAGATATGTATGTAAGCCAGAGAGGCTAACGCAAAATATTAATTTGTTTAGATGTATAAAAATCTGGGGAAAGGTTATGGGGCAACCTCTGTGGGAAGAATGGAGATTTAAAGAAATTACAGGTCTGTGAGAAATGTGAAGAGGACTGGGAGAAATGGAAAGGGTGAGAGACATTAGTGGGACACAGATGATAAAATGACATCTGTGCTGGACTGGGACTTCAGTGTGGCAGGAGCAAGTTTGGAAGGAAGCGGAAATCTGCCAGAAATACATTATTCCTCGAGTAACAACTGCATTCTGTGTCCTAATACTGATAGGTGTGGGGCTGTGGCCCATGTCCCCCATCCAGGAATTCCAGGGCAATGTGATTTATTGCATGCAGCACCAGCTTAGACGGGGTAGTTTGAAAAGGAGTCTAGCACAATTTCCTTCCTTTACAGCTCCTTGAGAAATGGTTCTGCATTAGCTGTGGTGGAGAGCCAGGTGATTGATGAGACAAAAAGTTTTATTTGGGGGTGCTTTTGTTGCATTGCCTGCCCTTCTTTAAACAGTTTAACTGGGGTACGTTCAACATAGACATTGTAATGTGAAAACACAATATCATGACCTCCCTAAATTTATAGACTGAGATACTGAAAGCATGTGATTAATATAGTTGAGGGGCCTGGAAACACACACAGCATGCTCTTGTACTCCAGCAAAATCTCTCTGAGTGCTACCTACCTATTCTCTGGAATTTCTCTTGTCATTTAGAAAAATGAAAGTGGGTCAAATCTCTCTCTGTTCTAATTGTGAAGAAAACTTCCAAAATAGGAACTATGTGTAACAAATAAACAGTTCTCTGGAGAGGTGGGAGCGTAGTTCTAAGTGGTGGGTGAATTGCCCCAGTCATCTCTGCAAGGTGCTGACTTATTTGCCCAGGAGTAGTAGTTTAAATGCCAATAATATTTGTTACGTTGTTCTTCATGTAAAAAATTGAGAAAGGTTCAAAGTACACGTAATTAGATTGTGTATTGCCAATACCAGCAGAATCTGCTTGAATGAACACCCTTGTCATTTTGGCTATGCCTAGGAACAGAAATTTTTTGGACATGAAAGCATTGAAGAATCTTACCTTTTTTTTGTTATTTGTTACATTTAAACATATTCAGGAGCTGATTTCATGTTGCTTTCATCTATGTATCTATGCATCTATGTATGTATGTATGTATGTATGTATGTATCTATGTATCTATGTATCTATCTATCTATCTATCTATCTATCTATCTATCTATCTATCTATCCCCTGTTACAACCTCTCAGTGGCTTCTGAGCTTGGTGTTTTCCTGTGACTGCTGTTCCCTTGCCACAGGGTGCACACACAGACACACACACACAAACAGACATAAAGGAAAAACATTGCTTGTGACTTATAAAAGCAGGCAACAAAATGAGTTCAGTCCTTCCCAGGACTATCCAGGTGTGGCGATGTGAAAACTGTCTTAGAGAGCAGGAGAAGGGACATCCTGTCTGTGCTTTGAACCTTCCCCTCTGGATTTCATTTCATTTTTATTTGCATGTATCTTTAAAACAGACAAATTTAATCCTTACACAAGAGCTTCCATATCTGATTCATACCTGCAGGCAGACTGGTTTTCTTTTAATTAAGATATGTATTCCCTGGAAGACACGAGTGTAATGGAAAACTAGCTTCATTTTTAACTAAGAAGAGAACAATGTCTCTACATAATCAATCAATCAATCAATCTCTTATTTTTTCCAGTGCACCCTTCATGCCAACATGCCTGAATGCCTTATGGTCATTAAATTAAATCAAAGAACACACCACAGAATGGACAAGGCCAGATCAATAAATCTTAAAACTGATTCAAACTTACCAAGGACTCTGCACAAGTAACCACGAAAGGAAGGATGACTTCAGTCAGAAGGGCATTTGTGTGGGCATAAAACTGAATGAAGGCACAGGCGATACTAATTAGAAGACAGAAACATTTAAAGGAGCTGGTCATTTTTATAGCATCACCCAGCCACCAACAGCATCAACCTGCAGCCTAATGTCTTAAGGGTATTTTTGGACTTCTGAGTGATACACAAAAATGGTGGCAAGAACTTTTTGCAGCTGGCTAGAAATCTGTACAGCTCCAGGTCATGTCCTGCCACAAACGTGCCTAATTTTAGCGATTTACCTATTTGTGACCTCCCCATATGATTACTGCAGGGCACCAGATTAAAGAAGGATGCAATGCACACCAGCTGGCATGAACCATTGTGTGACTGTTCCATCATCATGGACCATCCCAGCAATTTGATCTTTGCAGTGACTCCATACTGAACTTGGATCCAGTCGAAAGCCATCCATTAGTTTGGCAGAACATTTCTCCCTCCTTGCTGGAGAGGAGAGCTTTATGAAACTGCAATAGCCTTTATGAAACTGCCAATTAATGGGGAGCTTTGTACATTTTGCTCACAGAAATATCTCAGCAGCTGTCATAACCTATGAAGGTTCATTCCTAAAGCACGTAAAATGACCACAGGCCTAACGACATTCAAAACTAAATGCAAACCCCAGTTCTTCAACTTAAACTTCCCTCCCTCAATAATTTTGCAAGGCATGTACTCCGTAGTCTGTGAATTGGATCAAAAGTATTGCCTAGAGGCAAAGGGTCAGAGGAGATTCCACATATGAAAAACAGGAGGCCCTCAAAAGGGTGCAACCTCAGTTGCTGAACAGACACCACAAATAGGATGGATAAAAGCCCACATGAGACTGGTATATGAGCAAGCAGAAGCTGACAGTTGCCCCTCAGGAATACGGTATAAAGCTTTCAGTTCTGCAGGAGACGTGATCTGAAAGTTTGCTTCCTGGGAGCAATCACACCTGAACTGTTGCATGGTGCTGCAGTTGCATAATTTAATAGTTGTCATGTTTCACCCCAGGGTGAGTGTTCTTGGTGGAAGTGTACATAAAAAATTTGTCCGTCATTAGGGATAAAAGGGTCTATGCAAGAAGAGGTCAGACATTATCCTCATGACCAGCAGAAGAGGTCCATATTAAAACAAAGGAGGTGTTTGATTTTCTTTTGAACGTGGGCAGATGATTCAGACCCACGTGCCCTTCATACGCTCTGTCTCTCCCCTTCCCATCTCCTTTCTTTTGAAACAGATTTAAGTCCATCTACTTTTATATTTTCAAACAAAACCCATAAAAGGGCCATAAATATCATGACTCGCTAAAATGAAAGCTGTTTTCTTCTTCTCCCAGGAGACTCCTGCCTGAGAGAGAGACAGAAAGAGTTCACCCCTTTGAAAATTTCCTCCTCTGTCGAAGTAAAGCTCGTATCTAAAAGCAGCCTTCAAGGCTTTGTTCTTATCATCTTGACCTGGCTTTGTACTGGTTTCTCTCTGTATTGCCTGTGGAAGTGTGAAGGACGGGGCTAGGGGAAGGAGTTTTGGCTATCACTGGCAGAGCAAGGGTCATGCTTGGAAAGGGATTTCATTGTGGTTTCAGAAAATGTTATAAACTCAGCACACTGGCAGAAAGAATGAAGAAATTCATTCCCCTCCTGGATCAGACCGGTGATCCACCCCTTCTGTCTCTGATGTTGGCCAGAACCAGATGCATCTCAGAAGGTATAAAAGAAGTTTAAGTGGGTAATTATGGAATAACCTGCCCTGAGTAAAATTTTCTCCCCTTCTGGCCCAAAGCCCTCCTTCATCTCTCTCCTTGGTTAGAGTTCAACTCTATGCCCTGGAGCATGATGGCTTCTCTCCCTTCCAAACCGCTTTTCATCCTGGCCTGTCTCATGTAACTGCCTGTGACAGTGATGGGATGTATAGGTCTTGTCCATTGAGAATCTGTGACAGATCACAGCCTTATTGGAAAGAGAGGCAGAGAGGCCAAAGAGAAGGTGAGGGAGGAGAGCATAAACTCAGATGAAATATCCATCAGGAAGATGGAAAGAAGAGTGAATGCCTGGGAAACTAATTGCTGCCTGCTGATCTGGGCTGTGGAGATAGCTTGCAAGTGAGCATTTTTGCTTTTCAGAGATTTCAGCCTGGAGCACACTAGGAAAGTCAACTCTTGGTTGAAACTCCTGTTCATCAATACTTCCTCTTATGTTTTGGGGTTTTTTTAAAGCTGTAGAAGTATGAGAGTAGTCCTGAGAAAACTATTCTATTATCTACTGAGGGAGCTTTTTCTTCCATGGAAGTTCACTACTCATTTCTGAAAAGGTATTGGCATAATTTGGGCCTACTAAGACACTGCACACTGATGAAAGTCAGGCTGTTTTTCTACTGCCCAAAAAGGGTTTAGGAACCCAAAGTCAGATATTCCTGTCTAAGTCCCTGTCCAGGTCTTACAGCAATGGCTGCTCATACTCCCAAGTCGAGCACAGAGCGTATCCAAAAGTGTTTGTGGAGGTTACAGCTTTTGTGGGTTGGTTTGGTCATTGGATAGGGCATATCAGCATTTGTGTGGCAGAGTGCCAGATGCCCCAAGGTGAGGGTTAGAATTGTCCGACACAGTTAGACTTTTTAGACGTCGTCAGCATTCTCTCTGGTGACTTTACCACAGAAAGCATTAACAAAGTTCCAGGGAATTCTTAGTGTACTTTCTAGATGGATACTTCCAGTAATATGCAGGTTGAACAGCAGCTTTTATTTTCCAGGAGCTCAGCAATTCCTAGGGAGAGGGAAAGAAGAGCTAGGTGTTGGATCATATCCAGGTCTCAGTAATCATTAATTTCATTCCCACAGTATCCACAGTTTCCCATGTTCCTTTCCCTCAAAAGTGTGACAAAGTGATCTAGAGTCTTCCAAGTGATGGGTGCTGAAATCTCACCCGATCTCCCGGATAACACACAGAGGTGTTCAGAGCATCCTGCTGGTGTTGGCCAAGCACAGGAGATTGTTCATTAAGAGAAATGACTGTATCATTTATACTGAGAACAGCTGCAGTGAGCAGCTCAGTGGCAGTGTTCAAGGCTCTGTAATCTCCTTTTAGTTGCCACTTGCCATTAGATTTTTTAACTGGCCATAAAGGAGAATTGTAGGGGAAATGAGACGTGACAATGATTCGCTGTTCTTCCAGCTCCTTTATCAATTCAGTAACAGGACAAATAGCTCCAGAAGGTAATGGGTATTGTGGAATATTAACTATCTTGCTATGGGGTAAAGGAGCAGCTGTTTGCAACAGATTAGCAGTAAGAGATGTTTTTGTAGGAGGTAAACTCTGGGGCAGAAAGGGTGGTGTCCCTATATCCCATTTTCCCCACGACTGACCCTTCAATATATCCATACCCAATATAAGGGCACTTAAAAGTAAGGTCAGGTGGATTGCCTGTCCCTCAGACAGAATTAGTTTAGCCCTGACCAGTGGGCGGTTAGTGGGTTTCCCATTAACTCCTGCAATAGAGACAAACTGCTTGCTGCCCTTTGTAAGTGTCCTTACCTCCCATCAATATCTGGGCTCCTGTGTCAATGAGGAATGTTCTAAAGTAGGAATGGATCATTAACTGTGACCAGGATCCTCAGCAGTGGGAGTAGCACCCCACCCTGGTTTCCTGCATATCCATAGTCTAGGTTTAGTACTGATAGTTTGGGTATATCCCTGAGCCCACAGCCCTTGCATGCTCTGACTCTCTAGTTATTATCCTTTCAAATCATACGGTGTCATCCCATCTCCAAACACAGGTCCCAGAGGGTTGTCATGAGAAGTAAATGAGGAAAACCTGTCCAGCTGCCACAAAAGGGAAGTTGCCAGCTCAAAGACAGCTGCTTCTCTAAACACATTTTCCATTGTCTTTTATGCTCAGTAGTAACTGATGGTGTTTCTCAACTTAACCCTTTTTCTCTTCTACATTTACTTTAGCTGAGGTTCTCCCTTGGTTTTTATCCTCTGGGATGTACAGTGGTAAATCTGCTAGCCTACACTGAAGGACCTCTTGGAAACTAATACCATTTAAGCCTGTCTTAGTGGCTAACACGAAAGATTTCCATACCACCTCAACTCCCATTATTATGTGTCAGAAGTGTACAGAGTCCCAAATCATCTCCCAGGATTGCAGTTCTGCTGGAAGGGGTTGTCCAGCCCCTGGAGCAAGGTGTGCTGGTCCTTCTAATTCAGTTGAAATCACAGATTTCAGCAGGGCACTCTGTAGACTGGCTGCCAAGGCCTGGGGCCACACGTTTTTCCTGACATGGGCAGTGCACAAAGTGCAAGTCCATGAGGGACTGGTAATATTTGGCCCCATGGTATCCAACAGTATTCCTGGGTCTAATGCCAATGATCAGGCCTCAGCTGGGGCAAGGTGAAGCTCATTGGGTCTGACTATCCAGATCCATGGTAGCCCATTCACAGGTGTTTTCCCTGGTTTAGCTTGACATCTCTCCCTCAGACCTCCTAACCTGCGGGCAGTAAACCCTCCCGTAGTTCCTGTGGAGGGAGGTGAGTTTTGCACCCCTGTGGGAGTGCTGTGTTCAGTCTTGGTTAGTGGTGCTGAGAGCAGGGGGCAGGGAATCATCATCACCTGGCTTTGAGGGGAGGGGATGCAGATCTGCTTGTTTCCAGACGTCCCTCTCCCAATCAGCATTGCACGTGGCACAATAGTCTTTAACTGGGTCTACTGCAGGAGCTTCCAACAGCCTCCTCCTGCACTCCTCAGCTTCAGCAATTGTCTGGGGCTGAAGTTGGACTCAGGTGGTCTATTTTGCATTTCTAACTGCTTACGCTTCCCAGGTATTCTTTCCATTTTCCTTTTATTGTTTTCCTTTTTCAAGTGTACATTTTCCCCTTTCAACTCATCAGTCACATCCTCTGCTGCCCTCTGACAACTGCCTAGTAGCCAGCACAGAGCACCTTCCCCTTCTCCCTTCTTTAACTTACAAGAAAACTGCCATCTAGCAAACTCCTACCAAATATAATCAGCATCTGTGCAGTGGCTCTTGACGGCAGGACAAATCCTGCTTGGGATTTTGCCATTCCTCTTTCTCAAATTCTTCTCCCAGTTGTTGCCACTCAGTGTCTGGTTTCTCGTGGCACAGACAAACAGACACACAGAGACAGTATCTTTACACTCACATCAAACCAGCTGCTTCAGCAGGTGTGGCAAAGCACCTTGTGGTTGCCAGCAGAGCATGTCCTGGGGAGATCCCACTTGTGGCACCAATAAAATGTCACAGTCTGTTTGGGTATCTCAGTTTTACAAGGAACTGCCAGACAAAAGGTGACAGCTGCAGGAGGTAGCACTTTGCAGGTGACCATGGCTGCATAAAGGCCCTTTAGCTCTTCCTGGTTGCCTGTCCTGCCTACCTGGTGCTCTAGCTCTGACCTTATGACACTGCTTCCAGCACACATCAGGCCTCAGTACGAGCTGGGTTAGCCAAAACCTAAGCAGGAGTTGAGTGAACAGTCACAGAAAGGCCAGGGTCTCAGACAAACAAACAAACAAACAAGTTATTATTTATCAGTGATAGAAGTTGGGGTAACCATTTTAAAATGGAAGAGGCATTTTAAAATGGAAGAGGGTAGATTTACTTTAGGTATTAGGAAGGAATTCTGTGAGGGTGGTGAGGCCCTGGAACAGATTGCGCAGAGAGGTTGTGGATTCCCTGTCACTGGAAGTGTTCAAGTTCAGGCTGGATGGGGCTCTGAGCAACCTGGTCTCGTGGAAGGTGTCCTTTTCCATGGCGGGGGGTTTGAAACCAGATGATGTTTATGGTCCTTTTCAACTCAAACCATTCTGTGATTCTATAACAACTGTTTTCTTCTAATGCAATTACACAGTGCCACTGCCTCATATGTATGGAGTGAAAAGAATATTATTTCACTGAACTGACCTGGTACATGTGTCTACAGCTTTGTCTGATGATGGTTACACACTAAAATAATACCTCATCTCTGTGGCAAATCTCTCTTCTGTCCACAATTAAGTCCACTTTATAATTCCATTTTTTGGCCATGTTTACAACAATATAGCTATTGCAAGTGTGTAGAAAATGCAAATAACTTGCCTATTACCTTCCTAGTCACCTTTCTCCTTGTCACTCCCTCAGTTATGAATGCCTTGGAGAACAGATCATACTTGCTTAGTGCCTGAAAATTCCTGAGCTTTTAGGGGGAGCTACAGTAAATAAAAAAAGTGATGTTGAACTCTATTTTCACTGAAATTAAAAAAGAAAGTCATGTTATAACCTGATTTGGTGTGATTATACTGTAAATAGGCCATAAACAGTCAAAGGGAAAATAGCCCATAATATTCACACCATTGAGAGACCTAGGTGGTAATCACTGTTCCTCCCTGCTGTTCAAAATATTTTCCAAGTGTCCCCGATACTGCATTGGCAGCAGAATGTGGCCCAATTCAAGGGCTTTAATGCTCCTGCTAAGTAGAAACGATTTTTCTCCTCGAAATTTTCAGTGAAATAGTCTGTATTTTGCAAAAAAAAAAAAAAAAATCATAGCTATTCACTGCAAAAGCACTAAGAAAAAGGCAGAGACCATCAGAAATCTTTCTGACAAGTCAGTTCCATGTTTTAAAAGAAATTTGTCCAATTAAGGAAAAAGTACAAACGTTGAATTTCAAAAATAGGCATGTTCTATCTGAAGATGGCAGAGAATTTCAGTGTTGCTTGCTGAAGCTAATAGGGAGCATAACCTCCACTTTATACATGGGGAAACAAGAAGACAAATTTACCTTCAACTCAATTTTCCCCCTTTCCCCAAGAATTGTTACACTTCCCGTGCCACACAAAGAACTGGCATTTTAAACTGGGGGTGTAGCTTACTTTTAAGACCACAAACCTTCTTCACAAGCAGCATGGCTACCTCTGCCTGTCACAGAGCTACGGAAGAGCAGGGAGAGGCAGGGAGATGCTGTGCTTTTCCTGCCCTTTGTGGTGAGAACCTTTTTCACCTTATATCCATGCTTACTCCACATTTTCAAATATTTCCCCTTCATGACCTATTAGTTCTCAGCATCCTTTTGGGCTCAGTGATAATAAGGATATAGTTGTTTACTGTTACTCCATTAATATCCAGAGGCTTTGCTCAGCACCAGGACCCACTGCAGTGTGTCCTGCTTGCAGCACAATTCTAGATGTTCTCACCCTAAAAGACTTGCAAGTTAAACAAATGAAACAGCCCCAGGCTGGGAGAAAGAATTTGCATCTGTCCATGTATTTGAGACCCAGAAACTGAGCCCGGCATCATACATGGATTCTGCAGCAGCAGAAGTCTGTGGAAAATTTCAAAATATAGGGCTAAATTCATCTTGCTAACAAAGTCGTTCTCCATGAGCAATCACTCAGCCATCTGTGGCACAATTAAACACTCAGTGGCCTCCAGAGAGCACAAGCACGACTCTCTAAACTGGTGATTAAGGCGTTTGCCTGTGAGGGGCAGACATACCTTTCAGGCCTTTTTCCAGAGAGGGTGCAATGTGAAAGAGTTAAGTGTTCATCGGTGCAGGCTTTTTCCCTCCGGAGTCGTGGCTCTTGGCTGCTCACCTGCAAAGGTGTGCTGTGCCTTTCTGGCCCAAAGAATACTCAAATAATCAATTCCAAAGGAAATAGTTGATTTGAGACTCTTTAACAGAATAATCAACAGCACAGGAAAAGAGCCTGACACTTCCTTGGACCTAGATTCAGGTTCTCTCAGCGAGTTGAAGCATTGCCTTCTGAACATTGAGGTACTGAGTTGAAAAAGGCCACTCTCTGATTTTTGTCACCTGCTGCTTATGGTCTCTGTCTTGTCTGTGGATAAGGTTGGTGTAAGAACTGAAGGCAACTTCAGGTCTGTCAGCACAGGCTGGGGAGAAATTCTTCACTGCAGTTTCATGTTTATCCATTATAATCCAGTGTAATTGCAAACTGTCCCTAAAATATGCTGCGCTGAATTTTTAGGGCTTTCATCATCTTTTGGATTTGGGTCACACTGATGGTACAGGTGGCTTCAAATATAAATACAGGCCATCACATGGATGGGATGTACATTCCTGGCAAAACTGGCAGCTTTACTTATGTTTTTCTGTGTGAGAAATGATTCAGAAACAATCAGATTGGTTCTGGCTTGGTGTGGCAGATTGCACTCGAGCACGCGGCAGCCTCCCAGCCAGCGGGGAGCTGGGCTAAATCACCCACTGGAAGTACAAGCCTGCTGTAGCATTTAGCACTTCCTTGGCATTTAACAGCAAAACCCAGCAGAACCACGGCTTCTTTTTTGCTTTCTCCTACTCCCTCTCCCAAGCCTCAAAAGGTAGCAAATGCCTCTGGAGTATCAAAGCTTCAAATCCAGTGTAGCCTGGCTATTATTCCCTTCAGCCATGAGCATGGCAGTTACAGGGATGGGATGAATGCTCCCCATCTGGATCTTTTAAAATCTGTGTTTATTATTAATTCTGTGGCTTTTTAACCTGACTCTCAGTTTGGAAAGCAGGCAACTGTCAACATGGGGCAATGCGATGCCCTGTGCTTCTGCTGGACTTGCACCTGCCCACGGTAAGAGACCATCTTATAAGATCAGTGTGCTGGCTGGAATGGGAGGGCTAGTGTGGGTTTGGGTGAGATTAGCTACTGGGCAGAGGAACCTGCTCTGAGGGAAAGGTCTTGCCAAGAATTATGGCAGGCTTAGATTAGAAAGATATTGCATGTGGCACATTACAATGGACACACTAAGAGTCTTCCTATTGCCTTATTCTGTCATATGGACTGAGTTACACACTGTGGAAACCACGTTCTTTGCACGAAGGAGAGAATAAAATACTGTTTGGCTTAAATTTGTTCCTGCTTGTGAATGTAAATTAAATCTGTTCTCCTTCAAATTTCTTTTGTTCTGCTGCTTTTATCTTTGTGCAGATTTTCCTTGGTGACTCCTCTGTTGTCAGCCTGGTCCTGACAGGTGAAAATCATGAACCCTTCTAATATTACAAGCTCTAGGAACATATACTTGGCTGGGGGTAACGTGGAGTTACAGAACCCCAACCAGAGGGCACTGGTACACTGGCTTTTCCTGCCCTCCTCTGTGCAATTATTTTGGGGAAAGTTCTGTAGGCCAGGGAAACTGTGTTCATAACATCCACTATTTAAGGCTCTCACTCAGGTTCTTTCCTTGCAGCGAGAACTGATACGCTGTCAAAGTTGACAGTACTATGCCAGTTTATTGCACCAGAAGACCTAGCCTTTCCTTTCCTCCCAGCTCCTGATCTCGGCTGCTTCCATTATATGAACTCTGTCTCAGCCCTGCCCTTAATAAAATCTCCATGCTCCATATGCTCCCTCAGCCTCCCTTTGATTAGTGCTCCCAAAGTCTTCCTCGCTGCTGACGTCGGGGGCATGCACAGCTCTGTAATTTCCCGGCAGCCCTTTTCAAACACTGGCTTTTAATCAGGAGCTGTTTTACCAGCACTTCCTTCTCTCACGGCGCGCCTTTGAAGTGAGGCCGCCAACAGTGGTGGGGTTCCTTCCCCGCTGCCCTTTTTTGTTGTTTCCATACAGGATTCTAGGACAGAATTTCATAGCTTTTTAAATGCTCTGATTTTTTTTTTTTTTTCTGTGCTGTGATCCTAATTTCCTTCAGGATTTCTTCTTCATCTCCTGGGAAATTTGTCTCTATTTCTGGCATCTGTCCTTCCTAACCCTTCCCACATTTCTTCCCTTCCAAAGACAGGGGAAAAGAATCCATTTAATATTTTTCTGTAGTAACGTCTATCTCATCCGTCAATAAATTACCCTTTGCCATCTCTGGGAGACCCCTTTGTCTCCCTTCACTGACCTTATTCTGTACCTTGCCTGTTTTTTTTTAAGGGAGGATGCAATATCCCTGGGCTGTCATTCCATGAAGAACAGCTGTCATTCCTCCCATAGTGCATGTGTATGTGTTTGAGGAAGGAGGGGAAAGGGAGGGGGGAATTAGGGGAGGATGAGGATCTGCTATTGGGAAATTCACAGTGGTAAATGTTTTTTCATTCATGATATTCAGCTGCAATTCTATCTTTTTCTTCCTGTGGTTTTAGACATTCATTCTCAGAATAACAGAAATCTAAACACTCATCTCTCTGAAATGGAACTACAAGAATATTTATTAAACATATTTTTAAAACTCATTATGTATGAGTTCTATAAATTTCTAATTTTTTCATGGTCTCTGCTACTGTGAATGCTATGTCATTGTCAGAGCTGCAGCCTAATGCTACAGAAGTGGATTCAGGAAGCATTATCTGTTGCTAAAAAACGTATGACTTCCATATATATTCAGCATTACAAACTGAAATGCTCACTGAGAGGGTTAGAGAGCATGGTATAGTCCTACATGTCACTAGCTGGCTGTGCAGACCTGCAGAGGGAAGAGACAGGTCCATGAATCCAGCAGTTCCTACCCTGTCCATACTGTTCCTTATGCTTTGTGAAGCACTGCAGACCCCCAGAGAAGGCGTCGCAGAGCATTCCCTGTGTTTCTCATGGTCTAGCAACTCTGCTGGTCACACGTAGCACAAGTACACGTTCCTTTCTTCCTGCCCCTGCTCCCACACACAGTCTGACCATAAATTAGTACAGCTTAGAAAAGCAAATACTAGTTTTGATCAAATTTTTACCAAAGTATTTAAAGAAACAAAAGAACTAAAAAAAAATCCAACAAAGATGCCCTCACCTCTGTAGCATCTGGTAATTACACTTCTGAATGCATTTATTCTCGTAATAGAGACATGAAATAAGGAAATGCAGTTATTACCTATGGTGTGCAGCAGGGGCACAGCAAAGTGACCTGGTGGTACAAGGCACAGCATGTGCTGGGGCCCTCATTCTCCACATACCTGAGTCAAAAACCTGGTGGAACACACTGTGAGTCTTGTCTGATCCAGTCTTGGCGTTTTCTTTGTTTGGAAACCAGCAACGGGCACCCTGTTTGTGTCACAGCCCAGAGACAGGCATGGCCTCTGGACCTGCGAGCCCAGTGGTGTTCCAAGGCCCCGGATTAACCAACACTAGAGAGAGGCTGAAGAACTTAAGCAAAGTCAAAAAAGATGTCTAAATATGACATACATGCCAAACTACTCACTTCCTTGTTCTGTGCTAGCAGGACATCAGCTGAACATTTGTCTCTTAAAAGCACTGTACTACTTATTTTACAACTGCTTTGCGATTGATGTCCACTCTGGCCCTTTCTCACCTGATGGCTCTGACATTCCCTGCTGGATTTAGCTGTCCTAGCTGAAAAAGTAACTCATCTCCACAACTAGAGGTAATAAATTCTTTAGCCACCACAGCAAAATACATTGATATGATCTTGAATTAAATCACTCGTGTCTGCAGTTGTCAGTCCAGGACATCACCGCAAATTGGTATCAGCTGAAATCAGATTTACATGAGTGCATCAGGCTCAGGGCTGAAACAGTTTGCACTGCCCACAGCGTTCATTGGGCCACCTCTTCCTTGGGATATCTGCCTCCAGCACCTCAGGGTGATACCTTAAACTTCTCCAGGGTGAATCACTAGGGCTTGGGAACCAGAGCCTTTACTTCCCTGGAAACAGCCTGTGGCTTCAGTGACTACGGCTGTCTGCATATGGAAATGGTTTTCAAATGTGTCCTTCTGCTGGTAATACCAACCCTGCTCAGCACCAGAAAGAATGCTGGGAGTCTCCTGAAGAATGGCTCCTGGCTACTGGCATCTTCAGAACTATCCCATGTTAATTATTCAGGTCTTCTGTAAAAAGACACCTGTGGCAACTGGCAGAGTAACTGCACAAACATTATCAGCCTTGAGGCTGAGAATCTGTTAAATAGCCTTAGCAATAGAATATTAACACCTTGATGATGAGTGAGAGTGGGTGGAATAATCGTCTGCTCAGAAAGAGGCACCTTTTTTCTCATTCTATTCCTGTAGTTGAATCCTTATCTCCTGGATAAATAAAAACAAACCTCCCCAGTTATTATTGTTCCTGTTCGCCTTTTGACTCTTGATTAGATTTACCACAGATACATCCCTTTGGCAATGAAAATGGAACCAACACATTTCTGACGCACTCCAGTGGAATTCTCACCCCCTGCTCCACCCTCAGACCGCCAAGGTCCTGGTTTTCTGAACAGCTGTTAATTACTCGTCCTTCTAGCCCATGGATGAGGTACCATTTCTGAGAGATTACTTGCCCTGATCAACAGACTGTTCTGTATCACTTGAATCTTTATCTTATTTTTAATCCTCTGCACTTGGAGCCAAACCTGATACCTTTCTGAAGACAGAAACTCATAGTGATAGAAGCTGCCTCGCTCTGGCTGATTCTCCCTTCTATATTTTTCAGCGTTTTCCCAGATGAGGCCCCAGGATTATTGCAAACCAGTCCCGGGAAGAAATGCTGCTCAATTAGGCGAAAAGAAACTCGAAGGAAAAAAGGAGTAGAGCCAGCAAATTGCTTGAGATAACAATCTCCCCCCACCCGTGTGTCTCTGTAACTAAGAGGATTAGCTGAACTTTCTGTGTCACACCAAAACTGACAATAAGCAACAGTGACTTCCCCCCGCTGGCACTTGTACCTTCACATGTTTCATTTTCTTGCCCACACTACTGCCTTGCCCCTTGCTGATTGTATGACAAACTTGGGGATGAACATGATGGCTCTTTCCTTTCCTTTAAGATTTATGACTCAAAGCCAAATAAAACCCAACTCAAGTTATTACATGCTCTGTTTCCTCCTAACAACAACTCACTTTTAACAGCGTAAGCTAACCAAGGAAACATGGAAATATGGTCTCCTTGATCTCACCTGATCTATCTGCTGTTAGAGACGCAAACAGCAGCCTCGGGTGTGCCAACATGGGAGCAGGCACAAAGACATCCCTTGGGAGCAGGACCAAACGTCTGGAATATATAAAGCATAAGATCCATCAAAATTCAAAGTAACTGAGGTTCTGTGTAGATACAGCACTGCCAGCAAGGAGTTGGATGCTTATTTCAAGTTAAGATTTATCATTGCCTGGTAGGAGGACTACCCAGGGTACTCTTGCAGTGAAGGGAAATAAACTTTGGTAAAGGACTTCTGTTGCCAATTATGGAATCAGCCCGGTGTTCCTCTGACAATGGTGTACACTTGATGAAAAATATATGGCTTGTGGCTGAAGGTGATCAAACATCAAATAGTTCCAGCTTCTACAGTAAACCAATCCCTTTTGCTGAGCTGTGTAGAACATCACTTCAAACCAGGTGAACAACTTTCCTTGGGCCTGCCACAGAACTTGAAGGAAGAGAGGAAGTTTGTTCTACAAGACAAGGTAAAGGAGGAGCATTTTCCCACCAACACATGGTCCCTTTCCTTCTCCATCCTGAGTTTCAACAGAAGACCTCAGCAGAAGGTGGTGGAAATACAGAAGATGAATGTCTCTGATACCTGAAGGGCTGCCCACAGGCACACTGACCAAGTAAACACCTGTGCCACAGTGAGGAGAGAAGTAGGAAGCAAGAGGAGGCAGGAGAAGCAGAAATGTTTTCACATTGATGTAAAGTACATACCAACACACAAGGACTGGGGGTAAATGCTGTCACAACAAGATATGCAGAAAGTGTTAGGGTTGGGTCATAAAATGCATGGGACTTGCCAGTTCTTGTAAAGCATTTACTGAACTAGGCCTCTGTGCCACGTGCCCTCTCATTGCTACTCAACTCCCCGGACCTAAATTACATCACTGTGGCACTTCTGCCATGTTAAATGGTGCAAGCAGGTACTCTCAGGCCACATAAATTCAGTGAAGTAGTGGTTTGGGGGTCCCTGTACAGCTTTATTTGCGATCAAAGGGTATGGTGTTGTGGGGGAGAAATACTTCCAGACAGATTTAGACTTTTACTCCAAAAATCTCTTCAGAGTGAGACATTGTAAAAACTGCCCAGTGTATTGCCATGGGGTAAGACTGCCTTGTCACTCTGTAGCAACTCCTGTCTTGCCTATATGGAGCAGCAGTTTTAGTTCAAAGGGATCCAGGTCCATTCTCTCTCTCCATTTACATGAAATGGGACTAGAGTGGAGCGTGGCAGCCTATTAACAGTGCCCCACAGCACTGCAAGAGTTCTGCCTAGAGAGTGAAGGACACCGTGTCCAATTGAAATTACAGAGGAATTTGGGGTAGGCAGAATGTAATTACACAATTGAAATTTAAACTGTGAAATTAAAAGGAAATATTCAAGGATGAAGGGGCAGAGAGAATCCCTAATCTCCAGCCAGGGTAGGCTGCATGACAGAAAAGTCCCTTTCTGAAGAGGGAATAAGTAGGAGCTGTCCTGGAAGAAAGGGAGATAGAGAATAAAGACAATGTTTTCAAAAGCACCCTAACTCCAGCTGTGTGTTTGTTTCATAGGCTGTGTCTATTCTACAGAAAACCTTGTGGTTGCTAAAAGGCATCAGATGTGTCCCTCTTGGCCCCCTCTTCACCGAGGTCAGAAACAATTTGGTTCCTCATGTAAGCAGCACCAAGGCATTCCCAAGGTCTACAGCAGAAACTATGCTGGACAAAAGGAGGAGTGCAGCCCTCTTTTTCAAATGGGTACAAAACAGAATTTGCCCTTCTGCCTGGAGTTTGTCAGACTGCTGGCACTCTCGCTGTAGTGTCTGAGGTTTTACCAACTCTTAGTTAATAATTGTCGTAACAAAAATATTTTGCATTTATAAGGGTTGCCCTGTAGGAAGGGGAGGCAAAGAAACCCACTGAAAGCAGATCTGTGACAGTTTTGAGTGTCAACTTGAATCAGGCAATTGCAAATCCCGCTCCCCCAGAGATCTGAATCAAGTTGTAGGACCCCACTGTAGTCCCTCTGGGAGCAGAGACAGGTAAAGATGGAGATCCAGCCTTGTGGATCTCCAAGAGAAGAACAAGGACAAACTGAACAGGGTCCTTCAATCAAGGCACAACAGATTGAAATGGAGGGTCCTCTTCTTGGGCTGCCCAGCCACATATGCAACTGAAGACAAGTTCCTTAATTTCTCTCCTTTAGTTTATCATTGCTAAAAAAGCACAGTAATAATTTCCTGAATCTTCTAAGCTGGTGATTTGTAAGATTAACTGGTTAAAGTAACTGGTTAAAATTGGAAGGTTCAGAAGCTGCATTGATGACAACCATTGAAATGCATACAAAAAGCTGAGATAGAGCTAAAGTGCAGCCAAAGCAACAGAGAGTGAGAAATAGATTGAAAAACCCACCTGAAAAGATAAGTGTCCTATTAGTAATTACCTCCCCCTTTCCTGAGGACGTGTGAAGGTTCTGAATTAAGGTGGGTTTTTTTAATATGAAAATGAAAAACACGCTTCTTTTCGTCCATGCTCCATTCCTTATCTCCAAAAAAGCAGTTAGCTGCACCTGGGAGAGGCAGAGTATTATAAGATGGTACAACTTTCCTGCTACAATTTTATTATCTGAGAGCTTCAGAGGATCAGCAACAACTCTCAGAAAAAAGAGATTCAGGGGTCATCCTTTCTCCAATACAGAGACAACAGAATAGGGGCAGAACCAGAGCTAGAGAGCAATCTGGTCAAAGGCAGCCAGAAGAGTGTGCAGGGGGAAAAAAGCCAGCCAATATATGCAATGGACAGTCTCCATTTCTCTTCTGCTGTTCGTGCTCAGCACACACAAGGTGTGTAGGAAGGAGATCTGAAGAGGGGGAAGAGTATAATACCGGAAAGAGGCGGTATGGTGGGTCCCAAGCCTCGGGCACAAGGGGGGACTGTTGGAACAGGAGGAGGGCAGGGAACAATGTAGGAGAGAAAGGGAAAACAGCTTTGTGGTTAAAGTGCTGCAATGCACAGAGCACGTAGTGCAAGTCTGGGTCTTGCTGTATCTACTGTGACACTGGCGGGACTACGCATGGGCCGTATATTGCTTTTCTTCACTTCTCCTCACCAAGAAGGTACTAATCCTAATTTTCCCTTGTTCATTCGCTGCCATGTCTCTAAATTGGAAGCTTATTGAGACACAGAGTGGTTTTTGCTGTTCCTATTGATAGCATGCTCAAAAAATGAGACTAACAGGGAGACTGCGGTCGCTCTGTCAGGTAAACAGACAGAAACATTCAGAAAATCAAGTAACAGACAATCTGTGCAGTCTCCAAGTGAAAGGCACAGGGAGGTTTGGGGGGGGTTATGCATGAAAACATAAGGGGCAAAGAACGACTGTTTTGAGGCAGAAGCCCCTGTTAAGTATCTGCAGGACCAAAGGGAAAGCTGAAGCAAACATGATTCTAGAGACAGGCCGTCCTGGAGGAGAGAAATGTGATGTGAACAGGATAGAGAGAAGGGGGACACCGTGTGAGAAAAGCAGCATCTGGCATTCCCATCTGAGTGGCACAGTGGAATTGGAGCAGAGCAGATAAGTTTGCTCTTAATTTCCTTATACACTAGAGCTGTGTGGGGGAAAGGATAATTTCCTTTCCGGTATGATTTTGCTTAAATATAGCAATTTGTGTTTCTTTTGTCCCCTGCCTTCCCACCTTGTGTTTCTTTTGTCCCTTGCCTCCCTACCTTAAAAAAAAAATTGTGTCTGAAACACTACTGAATTAATTCTAGCAGGAGATAGAAAATTCAGAAGGTCATATAGCAATCATAGAAAATTTGGTGTTACGGGTACAAGTCAAGCAGGCCAAGGAGGGCTGGGAATTAGGAGGTATCTGGATCAACATCAAAACAATGGACATAGATATGCTGCAGAGCTTTAAAATATCCTCAAATACCATTTATTCCCTTTATGCATGGTGTTGATTTTGAGCACTGTATTGCTTTTCACTGCCAGAATATCTTTTTAAAGCAAAATCCCTGCAAGAGGCAATTCTGTGAGGCTGACAAGTCCAGTCAGAGAATGGAAACACAGAGTCCTGCACAGCCCTGGCTGCTTTGGGCTCTGTTTCAGCAGAGGATGTAAGCACGTTCTTAACCACCACTGTGAGCCCAGTCTCGCTGGCAGCAGCTGAGCAACTCAGTTTCCTACTTAGGTCTTTTTGTGAAATGAATCCAAAGTGCTCAGCTTCTCGTAAGGCTAAGCTTTGTATCATCCTTGCGTCCAATTATCTCAAATTTCAAGTATTTCTAGCAAGTTGCTCATGAGTAAGACACCAGTCAGGCACTACATGGCACTCACAATTGAAAGAGAGGTAAAATTTATCTGATAAATTATTCATCACTAATGATTTGGCCAGCTTTCCTGGATATATAGCCACAGGGATGTATGACACCTTGGGGAAGGCATCAGAAAGAGATGCATTCAAAGAGAACTAGAGGAGAGGATGCAGACACAGATCCAGAGTAATCTTATAGAGAGAGGGAGAGCACCTATGTGGCCAAAGTGAATTAAGTTCTCTTTATAGCTGGTCAATTACAAAACACAGAGCTGATTAGTAACTGTGAACTACCAGAAAAAAAAGCCCAAACCAAACAAAACCAAACAAAACATAGACAAAAACCAAACCACTAGCGAACAAACCACTTGTTTTCAGACATCTTTTCTTCAGCAGCTGTGGGTTCCAGCGAACTGTGCAGAAGCTGAGTGAGAGCAAAGGCTAAATCAGGTGTGGTGAGCAAATTCTCCCCAGCGAGAAGCTGCTGCTATCAGGGAGGAGGTTACTGGGAAGTGGCATGCAGGACTGAGAGGAGTCTTTGGGTGAGATGGGGAGATACGGGAGAGAATATTCAGCGTAGGCAGGATTAGAGCTGTGCAGAGTCTTAATCTAGGCAGCCCTTTCTCTACACCTTTATCTGTCCTGGTGCAGCCCCTGCGTGCTGCAGTGCTGGTATAACCTGGCCATAAAACTGGATTAACTGGCCCGCAAGGATCATGGCTGAACTGAAGAGGAGCACGACAATATGCCTTTGTTTACATGCTCACTCCTGTGAGCAAAACACAGATCTGAATGAGACAAAGTGCTTAATTGCTGGTGTAGAATATCATCAAATGAATGTGCATGAGTAAGAATTGGTGTTAGGGGAAGGATTTTGCTCTTTCACAGTACACTCCATTTCTCTTACCGTTCTTTGCAATAAGAAGAGGTTATTTTATAGTATGGCAAGAAAAAAAACTCCCATTATCAGAGGAACTTATTTTTAAATAAAAATGACAAAATTACCTTGCTGATTCACCCCTTGGAAATAAACCCCTGCTGCCTCCCTCCTTCAGCCTTTCCTTTCTGGCTCTTTCCTAACATTGAAAAAAAATCTAGTGACTGCCTCTAATACGACCCGTAATTTCTTCAGTAACAGCATGCAAGAACAGATTCCTGACAGTTCCTCTTACTCCACAACGTTTTTTGCCCCAGAAGGAAATCTGCCTTGGACTCTGACCCGTTGGAGTTAATGACTCTAGGAAAACATTAAGACCAAGTCCTTAATGAACGCCACTCTTTATCACCCTCCCTTTCTTCTTTTTCTGGATGTACACTACAAAGCTCAGGGATAACATGCAATATTAAGAATGTA